AATATTTCCACTTGCCCAAAACTTTAAAGCGAAAAAAGGACTCGAGGTTAAAGCATTTATTATCTCGTAATGATAAGTTAGTGTTTTAGATAGCAAATTAATGCACATACATGTACAGTGTAACTGTACTGAATAATAACCTAATATGTCAAAGAAAATGGTCAACAAAGGATGGTTGAAGGTTTAAAAAACGCATTTTATTGATTCTCCATAAATAATCAGATTCACATTTCATGGTATTTTCATCACTATTGAATTGTAGCCATGGAAATTCCGTCTTCCATTTCGGAACGAACCCTCGTTGTCTGTTGTGTTCGTAGTTCGCTTTCTTGGCTGGCGGTGCCTCCATGTTTACTAGCACAATCGAGAAAAAACAGCTGATCAACGCACGTGTGTGTCTGTGCAAGCCGCTGTCATTTGGAAACGTAGGCTAATTTTCAGCTGTTAATAATTTGGGTCAACTCTTCCATCAAGAAACGTCATGTAAATAATGGGTAATCAACTATTTTAAATAAAGTACAGACATTTTTATTTCATCATTCACTGCTATAAATATCATGCCAAAATTTGTAAATTCTTACTAAATAATAATATTGAAGATATTTTACGATAAATCTCGGATAAGTATGCGAAAACTAGACTAAACAACGTCGCTAAAACCATGAAAACAAAACAACAACGGCTTATATTCTGGGGGTCTCGATACTATTATCAAAATGACTCGCTCGGTCGGATCTTGAGACCGCAGTAATAAATTGAAAACGAGACAAAAACATTCATCTGATTTATATGAGCAGCGAGTTTTAAATAATATGTTCACAATCATTAACAGTCATTATGAATAAATATCAAACATTTGACTTTTTGTACTTACTAGAAAATCCCTGTTGTTTATTCCATTCCGATTCGCACGTGTTCATTTCCCTAGAATAATGACGTCATATTTGGCGTGATTCAACCAATCGGCAATCAGAGAATAGCAAAGGCCTGTCGGTGCGGCCTGCAGAGCTAGAGAGAGAGAGCGCGAATAAGCTCGCAGCTGGTACGATCGCGCTAGCTGTCTCTAGCTAGCTCACGGCCGGCCGTGCGTGGAGGCGGAGCGGCATTCATGGCTTGAAGTGTCACTGTTGCATGCGCGCTGAGCTAGCTGAGCTGGCTAGCTGTCTGTGAAGTTTTTTCGAAATCGGAACGATCGCTTTTTTGCTTCTGGATTTTGACGACGGGTAAGAAGTTGACGGGTGAATGGTAGAGTTCTTGGACACTAGGAAATTACTGTAAAAGTATCACTTGCCCGAATCGGGCAAGTGATAATTTGATTTACTTGCCCGACGGCTCAATTTGGTTGCCCCGGGACGTCGGGCAAGCGGGTTTGTCGCGCCCTGCTATAGGCCTACATATATGATTGATTCTTCGGTTCATAATAACACCTACGATATATAGAAGTCTCTTCTCCTTTAAAAAAAAAGTGACATAAAATTAAATTTTAGTAAATCATACACTTGATAATCTTAAATCTCCATGCCACCACATGACGGCATATATCTAGAGCAAAAAATTCAGTTTCAACATTTTATAAAATCCAGTCATGTACAAATGTATGCAACATTCATTGTGGTAATGTGTATGTGGCATCTAGTCTTTTAACCTTTCACTATATGTACAATGACTGTATGGCACTCTTAAGTTTCTTTCAAATGTTTTGTCAATATTTATTCAGCCAGTCGGCAAAAGATGTGTACACTAACCTTTTTGCGAATGCAAAATTATGCACATGAGCAGTATTTAAACTTTTGGAGTACAGTTATATGTTTACACTCTATTCAACAGTATAGAGTACAGTGAAAATCAAGAGAAAGCCGGTTTTGGTGTAGGTAAGAAAATAATTCAATTATGTAATGTATTAGAAATTCCTTCATGAAAATCATAAAATATACATCCATTCCCATATATGCAATATATACAGAGAATTCCTTAGGTAAAAAATATTACCAGCATCTATAAAACTATTGATAAGTAAAGTACTGGTACTGTATGTGTATGCATTGTGAAGGTACTGTAGATTTGATTGATGCACAAGTTTACAGAGCACATTAAAGGTAATACAAAGTTTTGGTATGGGGTCATGAATTTGGTTCAAATTAACATATTGGAAGCATATGCGTCCCTACAATATACATTGATCGTTGTCGCGGTTGAAATCAAGTCTAAAGTTATGAGATTATAAATAATAAACTCTTTATGTTGTATAGCTCCCTCTCAAGGTCAAGATATTAATTTAGCTATGAAACAATGTTTCTTGGCTGAAATCGACCGATTGGCTATTCCCGTTTGGAAAATATATATCCCAACTACATATTCTGAGATTTTCCTGGTCGCAGCTACGATTGTACGGTCATAGGCGCTATTTAAAATTTATCAAAATTTACCGGGAGCACCGGTAAATTTTTATATTCATTTTTTCTCGAAAACTGAAGTGTTTTAGGGCTAATTTTTGTAGTGCATATAATACATCCACAGGGGTATCCAAATATATCAAAATTGTAAAGATTCACTATCCACCCAATTCTCAAAATTTCCCAAAACTTTGTATTACCTTTAAATTCTAAAACAGTGGTAAACCAATATGGTTTTTATATCTCTCACTTTCCACATGTGGTGTCATTGAGTACTTATTATGCTGCTTATTATTAGTTTCAATATCACTTTCTTTCCTTTTTTCTCTACCTTTCACCCCTTTTATCTCTTATCTATTCTTTCTCTCCCTTTATCCCTTAATTCCTTTATAATCTTCTTCTGTTTTTTTTTTATCTTACTCTCTCTCTCATTGATTCTCTTTTTCTCACTTTTATTTCACCTCTCCTCTCTTCATTCCCTCTCATTCTCTCTATTTCCCTTTCTCTCTCTCTTTGAACTGAACATGTTCATAAATTGAAAAAAGAGAAAATGGACCCTCTCTCTCTCTCTCTCTCTCTCTCCCTCTCTATCTCCATTTCAGACATTCAATATGTTGACTGATTTCCATAAAGTGGACTTGCAATTTTAAGCTTGATGGATTTGGACCATAATCCTGCACCATCGCATATCTGCAGCATTTTTGCTTACTATTTTTATCAAATTATTGTGACAAATTTACCATGGGTATAATTTCACAACTAGATATATGAAAACATAGATGCAGACATACAACAACCTATAAATGTATACACATATGTAAAATCAAAGAAGTAGTTTCAATGATTGAAGGAAAAACTTATTACTTCCACAGCTAAAATCTGAATAAATAACTACTGTAACAAAACATGTGCCATCTCTAATCATAGCATGTGCATTATATTCTACAGAAGCAAAGCCAGTAATAGGAAATCATACACACATTGTGCATGTAGAGTACAAATCAATATTGAACAAAGAGAAGCGATACAGATATGCGAAGGAACAACAGAGTACTAGATTTTCAAGTTTCAACCAATTAATGAAATGAATGTAAGAGTAATAAACTAGGAAAAATAAGGTTTTAGCACGAATGTAAATTACACACAACATAATAATAAATACTGATTACAACCAAGGAGATACCAGCAGCACTAGTTAGCAGAAGGCTTTAATACTCACAGTGAATGCCTCTTGTGACAGGCTATATATACATGCAGGTAGCGATACATGAAATTCCAAAATCGCTTATAAAATCAATAATATCCAGCCAGGGATGGCAGATGTCCGGGACCAACTTTACGATTTACCGACTTAAATCATGCTTCTAGCGTCTGCGTTGCCAAGATCGGTTATAAAAACGATTAGAGCCCTAGTAGTCGGAAGTCAACAAATCCAATATCCCCAGGCAATGATATAATTACGTCTTGACTGCTCTGATAGCAATTAAAAATCTAACGTGATATTTGGTGAATGGGACTGTACCGAGAGACAGTGGATGGATTGGTGGTTTTGGCATGTTTGATTGACGAGGGTTCAAAGTCCATTGTGTAAACCCCCCTCAGTGTTGTTGATGGTAGCCAGTGTGTATGCTCTCGATTTACACACACACACACAGTCGCCTGGTACACACACAAGACACACACACACACACAGCTGCGTTAGCCAATAAAGGCGCCACGCGCCAACTGCCAAGGACCACTCTAAAACCACCTCACTCAGTGTCCCTCCGACCAGACTCAATGTTATTGCATCCCTGCTTGAGTGCAATAATAGAATAGCCCTTGTTATGCTAATGAGCATTGGTAGGAAGGATAACTGCAAGGTCTCATTGATTGGTGGTTAGTCATGTTTGGGTCATTCCATTCATCTGGAGGGGAATCCGATACGCCTGTAGTCAATATATTTTGACCTCAGAGTCATTTACAGGTCACACATTTTAAACAATATCAGCTGTTGACTGGCTTCTACTTTAAAAATACTTTAAAATACTCTTCAATCACAGGGAATGCCTGTATATACCCCAAATTTTGAAATAAATGCAATTCTCCATGAAGATGAAAAGTCTAGATTGTATTTAAACATGATGATTCGGTTTGTTTTTGTTTTCATGTCATTCGTCTTGATGGACAAATGTACCATTTACATGTAACTATCTCACAACAGACACACAAATAAACAAACAAATCCATATATGGAATTTGATTTTGTTGACCTGTACTAAACACATCATACACCTTAAACATAATAAAGTAATCAAATTATGTCAAAAATAATACGGAAACAAAAAGATAAAGAAATACAACATAGAATAGTAAAAAATGAAAAAAGGAAAGAAATACAAGTGCTGCTAGATATGCCTGGCCAATCATAGGGAATACTTTTAGTTGCACAAGTAGGCAACATGTACCCTGAACATATTTTGTATTAATCAGGTAAACAATCATCAAACATAATCAGACATGAAACGCGGTCATTGCCAAAAGTATCAATTGTATTAGCAATATCAATCATACACTGTATGTCACGTTTGTGGTAACTGACCAAATGAAAATAAAACAAGATCTTACCAGTTCTGTAAGCCAGATCTTTCCTCTCCTCCTCCAGTTTGGCTGCCCAGCTTTCCTCCATCCTCTTCAGAGCTTCATCATTAGCCAACATGAGGGCCTGACGCAGCTCGTTCAGGGCCTGGGCCTTCTCGTGGGCTAGGTCAGCCCTCAAGGACTCTGTCTGGCTCGTGTAGACCTGTTCCAGACTAGACTTGATCGCTTCCACTTCTTTTCGGGCTTTGGTCTGATCATAGAATTATAGGAATTGTTTGCAATAAATATAGAGCTAGTATAAAATTAGGGCATAGGCCAATTGGGTCAGATCTAAACTTGAAGCCTACATCTGGCTCATTTACATGAACACCTGTTCCAGACTAGACTTGATCGCTTCCACTTCTTTTCGGGCTTTGGTCTGATAAGACGAAGGAATTAATGGCGATAAATATAGAGCTATTATAAAATCTAGGGCCTAGCCTATTTGGGTCAGATATGAACTTAAAGCCTACATCTGGCTCATTTACATGATGGCCAATTCAAGAAAAGACTTGATGAATTCATGTGCTTTTGCACCTTTTTTCACATTCATTCATTCTTTTCCCCCAGTGATCTACTTCCTGTGAGACGGTACATTGTTTGTCCTCTTTTCATATATTTGTAAGCGCAATGGTACTTCGTGTTTTTAGCGCTCTTAAATATTTGATATTATTATTATTATTATTAATATTCCTCACTGAGGAGGAATATAGTAGCACAGCAGCTTAAAGTTACAAGCATCTTGTTTTTCTATCAAGTAACATCAAAGAAATCTGATGAAAATAATTTGAGGCCTTCAAAACTGTACATGAGCTTATTAAAAGCAACATAAATTGTTGTGTAAGGGACTGCAGTCTTGCAAATGCTTACCTCGCTTTGCTGCCTGATGGATTCTTTCTCTTTCAGATTATTCTCTTCAATCTTAGTTTTCATTTCCTCAAAGATCGCTCTCTGTCTCAGGTCCAATTCACCTTTCAGAGCCTCCATCTCCCATTCATGTTGGTCCGTCAAGTCCTTTATAGTTTTTAAAAAAAGAAGAGTTTTGAGGGGTGGACAAAATACAATGTACATACCTCCTCCTCCCTTTTCTCATTCTTATTCTCATTCTCCATATTGTTTTTTATATTATTCTGTTTCTTCTCTTTCTTATTCTTTTTCTTCTCCTCCTTCTCTTTTTTCTCTTCTTTCTGATTCTCCCTCTTCTCATTCTAATTTTCGTTCTCTATAATATTAATTATCATTCTTATTTTCCTCTTTCTTTTTCTTTTTTTCTTCTCCCTCTTCTCATTCTTATTTCTTATTCTCCATAATTTCTATTATTATTCTTCTTTTCCTTCTCCTTCTTCTCCTCTTTTTCCTCCTCCCTCTTCTCCTCTTTTTCCTCCTCCCTCTCCTCCTCTTTCTCCTCCTCCCTCTCCTCCTCTTTCTCCTCCTCCCTCTCCTCCTCTTTCTCCTCCTCCCTCTCCTCCTCTTTCTCCTCCTCCCTCTCCTCCTCTTTCTCCTCCTCCCTCTTCTCCTCCCTCTCCTCCTCCTTCTCCTCTTTCTCCTCCTCCTTCTCCTTTTTCCTCCTCCCTCTCCTCCTCCCTCTTCTCCTCCCTCTCCTCCTCCTTCTCCTCTTTCTCCTCCTCCCTCTCCTCCTCTTTCTCCTCCTCCCTCTTCTCCTCTTTCTCCTCCTCCCTCTCCTCCTCTTTCTCCTCCTCCCTCTCCTCCTCTTTCTCCTCCTCCCTCTCCTCCTCTTTCTCCTCCTCCCTCTCCTCCTCTTTCTCCTCCTCCCTCTTCTCCTCCCTCTCCTCCTCCTTCTCCTCTTTCTCCTCCTCCTTCTCCTTTTTCCTCCTCCCTCTCCTCCTCCCTCTTCTCCTCCCTCTCCTCCTCCTTCTCCTCTTTCTCCTCCTCCCTCTCCTCCTCTTTCTCCTCCTCCCTCTTCTCCTCTTTCTCCTCCTCCCTCTCCTCCTCCCTCTCCTCCTCCCTCTCCTCCTCCCTCTCCTCCTCCCTCTCCTCCTCCCTCTCCTCCTCTTTCTCCTCCTCCCTCTCCTCCTCTTTCTCCTCCTCCCTCTTCTCCTCCCTCTCCTCCTCCTTCTCCTCTTTCTCCTCCTCCTCCTTCTCCTCTTTTTCCTCCTCCCTCTCCTCCTCCTTCTCCTCTTTCTCCTCCTCCCTCTCCTCCTCTTTCTCCTCCTCCTTCTCCTCCTCTTTCTCCTCCCTCTCCTCCTCTTTCTCCTCCTCCCTCTCCTCCTCTTTCTCCTCCTCCCTCTTCTCCTCTTTCTCCTCCTCCTCCTTCTCCTCTTTCTCCTCCTCCCTCTTCTCCTCTTTCTCCTCCTCCCTCTCCTCCTCTTTCTCCTCCTCCCTCTCCTCCTCTTTCTCCTCCTCCCTCTTCTCCTCTTTCTCCTCCTCCCTCTCCTCCTCTTTCTCCTCCTCCCTCTTCTCCTCTTTCTCCTCCTCCCTCTCCTCCTCTTTCTCCTCCTCCCTCTCCTCCTCTTTCTCCTCCTCCCTCTTCTCCTCTTTCTCCTCCTCCCTCTCCTCCTCTTTCTCCTCCTCCCTCTTCTCCTCTTTCTCCTCCTCCTCCTTCTCCTCTTTCTCCTCCTCCTTCTCCTCCTTCTCCTCCTCCCTCTTCTCCTCTTTCTCCTCCTCCCTCTTCTCCTCTTTCTCCTCCTCCCTCTCCTCCTCTTTCTCCTCCTCCTCCTTCTCCTCTTTCTCCTCCCTCTCCTCCTCTTTCTCCTCCTCCCTCTCCTCCTCTTTCTCCTCCTCCCTCTTCTCCTCTTTCTCCTCCTCCTCCTTCTCCTCTTTCTCCTCCTCCCTCTTCTCCTCTTTCTCCTCCTCCCTCTCCTCCTCTTTCTCCTCCTCCCTCTCCTCCTCTTTCTCCTCCTCCCTCTTCTCCTCTTTCTCCTCCTCCCTCTCCTCCTCTTTCTCCTCCTCCCTCTTCTCCTCTTTCTCCTCCTCCTCCTTCTCCTCTTTCTCCTCCTCCTTCTCCTCCTTCTCCTCCTCCCTCTTCTCCTCTTTTTCCTCCTCTTTCTTATCTTCCTCCTCCTCCTCCTTATTTCTCATTCTCATTCTCCATAATTTGTATTCTTCATCTTTTCCCATTTCTTATTCTTTTCTTCTCCTCCTACTCCTCCCCCTCCTCCCTGTTCATCTCCATCTTCTTCCTTTTTTCATTATTATACCCTTTCTTGATTTTCTCTTCATTTTTCATAAAATCAAAACACACATGTCAGCTAGGTCCTCACGCTCGCCTGTAAAGTCTTGACATGTTCCGCTTGATCCTGTTCCATCACTCTCTCGTGAACCGTCTTGACGGTTCCTAGCTGCTTCTTCCTCTCCTCCTCCAGTTCTTCCTTCGCACCTTCGATGCGGGATTCAAACTCAGCCTTCATATCTTCAAGCTGTGGGGTGTACAAGAACATGGTTGCATGAGGAAGTTCAAAACAAGCCTGCAAATAGTGTGGATTCACAATTGAAAGTGCCCCCACCGGCAAGCTGCGACAGGCCAATTTCATACTTGCTAACATTTAAAAAACAAGAATTAGGAATTTCTAGCACGGTATGCCTTCAAAAATAAGAATCTCTACCCTTGACAGGCGTTCGCACATGCAGCGGCAGTGTAACTGGCAATACGCAGTTTCTGTACAAAAAAGCGAAAAAAAATTTGCTGCTCATTCCTGCAGCCATTCAAGGCACGCAATATGTGAACTCTCCAATCGTGGCACATGATAAAACAATCTTAATTTAGCTTTAGCAATTTTTTTTTTTTTTTTTTAATCAGAATAAATAACTCAGAATATTCCAAATTTTAATGTCCTTAAATTCCAAAAAATCAAAATATTCCGGATTATTTGGCAGGGTTGGCAGGTACGGTATGCAATTTTTCAGCTTGCGGGACAACATCTTCCAACCAGTGCAGCGCAGCGAAATGCTAGCCACCAATCGAAATGACCAAAGAGGTCTGAACTGAGGATCGATTGTTCTAATATCTGCACACATTTTCATATTGAATTTGGATGTCAGAACCCACCCATCAATTAATTCTGACTGAAATACCAAAGCGGTCAGAACTGTGGAAATTTGTTTAATGAGATCGATTGTTCTGATATAAGCGCACATTATTATATCAAGTTTGGATGTCAGAACCCACCATTCACAACTGGATGTCACTGATCAGTGGTAAATGACCATTTGACATTTGAATGAAACTTGAACTTTGGAGACTTTGTTTTAATATCAAAGGGGAAGAAATAGGCCCTTCGCCCAGCCCCCTCCAATCCGCATTCAGGTTAGAAAGATGAAAATAGGTCATGTGATATTGCACTTGCTCTCTCTCTCTCTCTCCCCCCTCTCACACATACACTCTCTCCCTCTCTCTCTCTCTCTGTCTATCTTTCAGGAAATATATTATTTTCCAAATTCAACCCCTCTCTCTGTCTCTCTCTCTCTCTCTCTCCCTCTCCCTCTATTCCCCTCTCGGTAAATCATTCTTTTTGTCACATTTCAATCTACCCCTCTCTCTCTCTCTCTCTCTCTCTCTCTTTATCTCAATTTGGGTCTCTATCGCTTTTTTCATCTTCTCTTGTAATCTCAATTGTTTACTTTCTCATTCTACCGCTCTCTGTCTTCATCCCCCTGCCTCTGTCCTCTTCATTGCCCTTGCCCCCCTCCCCCTCCCCTCAACTCCACACATAATGTATTTCTATCTCAACCATACTTCCCATGTCACTTACCCCCAAAAAATCTTTACACATTACAAACAAATAATACAGCCATAAAATGGACATGCATTGACTTTGAATCTAAATGCTCATTAAGTGTAAAGATATACCGTAGAGATAAAATGATGGTTTGTCTTTTAATGGTGTTTCTTAACCCTAATCTTTGAATATGAATGTTAGTTGTAGTTTGCCATTTAATGGTGTTTCTAAACCCTACAGAAAGTTTGATGTCAATGTGAAATTAATGATTTTTTCTTCTGATCTTCTCTCATTTCACTTAATTTTTACTTCATTGTGAAATATGAATTTTTAGTCTTTATTTGGGAATTTTTTACTGTTGAATCAATAGACCAGTTTAAAAACATATCCACATTTATGGATATTTTTTTCCTGGGGACCTTTTCCATTATTCTGTTATCAATGAATGAACTACAATACTTGGAATCCAGTCTGCATACATTACTTGTTGCTAGGTGGGGCAGCTCTCAGGGAAATCTTTGAGGTTGTCAAGAACAACCTTTGTTTGAAAAATATGCAAACAATTTGAATATGTAAGTAAACCGGTCTAATCTCGATACAATACACCAAAGGGAAAAGTGGTACTTCCTCCTTTCTTGAAATGTAGGTTTAGAATTTTGAGAAATTGGAATAAAAAAGCCTAGGTCATCCCACAATTTTCTTCATCCAAATAGATTTCGTAAACTAAAGCATACGTCCTTGATACAAATATTTCAATCACCTGTTATGAATAATTGTTTTTCAATATAATGCAAATTGCATATATAAACTATGTCTTGTTCGGTAGGGCAAGGCATATTGTTTGTCCTAGCAACAACTAATGTATGCTATTTAAATTCTGACTATTGAAATTCAATTATTCATTACAGGTGATTTAAATATTTGTATCGAGGCGCATGCACTTAATGTGGTAACATTTATACGAACATGGCCTATTACCAAAAAAAAATTGAGATTTCCTATTACAATTTAAGAAGACAGTATTGTTAAAAGTCTGGGTCATATAAGAACAAATAAAATAAAGAGATGAATGAAGGTGTCAACACAAATAAAAGATGAAGAAATAAAATGGAACTTGCATGAATAATAAGAGCAAAAGAGAATACAAGAACAAGAAAGAGTCATTACTCATTAAAGAAAGCTACATGCAATAACGTGCACATTTCATGCAGATGGATTTTAAAGGGATAAGTAATATTAGTAATTAATCTTATTAAGAGTTTAAATAAAATTTGAACCCCAAAAAAAGGTTAGAACAAGCTCAAATTTGCATGCCTTAGAACTGACACAAAATAGTTGAATAAAAACAAATTTACTCATGTTTATTTGGTTTCTTCTGGAAGTCATTTTATTTTATAAAAATAACATGCACACTTCAAAATAAAACATCATAGAAATATATTTCATAGGACAAAACTTTGTTTTACAGCAAAGATATGTTAAGTCTGGGTCAAAATCAGATCCTATTTGCTTCTCAGAAAAAAGCAGTTTTGTTTTCTCACAATTCCTTCCAATTTTGGCACTTTTTGCGTCTCTTTCGGTTTCATGAATAAAACAGAAAACACAAGGATTTTTTATACAAAGAGTATAGGACATGAAAAAGGGTGAACTAGTTTCACAAAATTAATGGCATTCTTTTAATGATAAATCAAATTTTGAAGTGTTCATGAAAAAAGAAAAATAAAGGAATTGCTCACTGAGAAATATATGTCATCAACCCTTTAATACAAATTTATTTTATCTATAATTATAGTGTGCATGTTTGATTTATAAGAAAAAAATCCTTACATAGCCTTTGTTTCAATTTCAATTCATAGATAACAAAATTAACAAGGAAGTTTCTAAAATTTGCATTTTTTAATGATTCTAGGAGAGAGAAAAAAACAGAATTGGTGTAGTATTTACTTGTTTATTTGTAACTCCACTTTTTCTTTAAAAAAAAGAAATGAATGAAATGAAATGATTGTGACTAAAGTAATCAAATCACAAATGTATTTTTCATTCATACTTTCAAACAAAAATAATAATAATGAAATATATTTGCTAGAAAATGTGTGTTTTTTTTCTCGACCAGAACCATTAAATATCATATGCATCGTATAAAATAGTTAAAGGATTGCAGATTAATAGATTTTAGGGGAGAAAGACATATTGGGTAGCAAGCTTAAACTGCACCTTAGCTTTTTAGGGAAAAGAAGCAAATTAATAAATTGGGAAAGAAAGCACACGTTTGAAAGACACAGGGGAAATTTAAAAAAAAAGATATAAAATAAACAAGGAATGAAATGTTGACGGGTGGGATGAAAATGAAAGTGTGAAAAAGAAACATGCAAAAAGATGAATGTAACGCAAACGTAAAATAAAAAGTGAGAAAGGAAATGGTAATAAAAAGTGAGAAAATTTGTTTCGGTTCTGATTTTGACCCAGACTTTTACAAACAATACCACATATCAAAATATTTTGAGATTGTGACCTTAAGAAAATATATTATTCAATTTCATTCCAAAGATATCACATGTATACAGTATGGACGAGCATTTATCAATTTAACTATTAAAGTTTAGATTTTCTAAACGTCAAAGCTGGAGATGAAAATCAACATCATAGAATATATGTTCTGAGTATGTTGTACATAACTCAGTTATGGTGAAAAATTAAGATTAAATTAATCAATATAAGTATAGATCCTACATGATAAATTCATTAATACTTGTTATCTTTCTTCCAAATCAGAGAAGTGCGGGTGAAAAAAAACCTCTACATTAAATACCACAAATGTACATTAGCACCATTGGAATATTGATCGATAAGAGAGTAATTAAATTCTATTAATATTATTCAAACTCGTAAATTTGACCTAATTACAACAATTATAAATAAAGGTTATCCAGAAGTGTCCTGATATTAATGTTGGTTGTTTGTTTTTGTTATCATTTTATCCTGTTCAGGTAACTTGCATCTTACTTTTTGGTCAAGTTACTCTCCTCAAATAATAAATGCTATGTCTTCATTCTGGGTAAATACCAGAAATAATAAAGAGAAAAATGTCAATAAATATGGAGATTAACTTTAAAAACTAGATCAATCTAGTGAGCTGGATAAAAGCAATTTGATGTAAAGGCTTTTGTTACTGTTCACCTGAAAACACCCTCAGTGAAACATTCAGTGTGTACGAGTTAAACATATTTTTATAGCTCTGTGTGAAAATTACACAACACGCATTTACATTACAATCACTATTCAAGCGTTAATTTTAAATGAACAAACTTGATTTAAAGTTTTTGAATCGATGGCATGAACATCATTTAGATGTTGTTCCAAATAATATAATGTATTAATGGCACACTGTGGATCAAATCAAATGTCCATCTTGTATTAAGTACAGCTCTAATTGTGCAAATCATGAATATCACGATACAAACACTCAAGTTTTGTCTGAATACAAGAAAGCACATTCATGACTTCCTTACCAATATTAATAATGGACATTGATATCAAAACTAAGTATCAAAGCTTGCATAGATGGTAGTGGTCTAGCCATATCATATTTGACATAGGCACTTCCTGCATGGCAAATCAACAGGATAAGTGCCATAAGGTCGTTACATAGTATAAACATACATGTAGACTCTAGAATGTACATTTGGCCATGGAATGTAGCTATTTTTAGCACTCTCTTGCCAATATTTAAATTTGTTATCAAAGGCAGTTTCACTAGGTCCATTTACACAGCCCATAAATCATTGTGAAACAAAAACATCAATTTTATTTTTTGGACTGCCATATTACACTACTGGCAAAAACCTGTTAAAGAAAAAATGTTGCTCGTTTTGTTTTGGGTGAGAAATGCTCATGAGCAACTTTTCGCTGCTCTGCATGAGATCGCACAGAAGAGAGAAGAGTCAAATGACCAAAAAATAACAACATTCACTGATGTTTTGAGAGCGAGCATTAATACTGCAAAATCAGTGAAATTTCTGGCATTGTTTTAAAAAAACCACAACTCCAGAAGGTGTTTTTTTTTTGTCGTGGATGGGGGTGTTAACCGATAGTTGCCTAGCAACTTTAGACAAAACACCAGGGACCCGTTTCACAAAGCCTTTTTTCAATGACAAATGACAAAAATCAGTGACAAATCTGCTGATAACCAATCAGAAGCAAGGATTTCAGTAGCTTATAACAAAAACTGTCATTTGATGACAAGTTTTGTGAAACACCCCCAATTTAATAGCTTGGAATGTAAACGCAGCTTTGGACATGCTATCTTGAAACCTAAACTACATACATATCATATGTACTATATATATATCACAGGGTATTGTTAAATGCTAGAAGCATATCAGAAATGTTTGGCAAGTCAAGCTGTCTACTATTTACTAAATTGAAACTAAAATTATAGATTTTGTAGAATCTACCGGTATCTCAATGAAAAATTGGAAAAAGAATGTATTTCAATTATCTGTGGCTATTGCTAAATGCATGTAAACATATAGAAGTCACATACTTTAAAGTTCATAATTGTTCAACGCAAACAATGCTATCCATGATTGTCACGTTTTCTTTCTCTTTTTTGTAATGCTAGTTTCCCGATGGGGCATACAATTTACACATAATTCTTATTCCGATCTGAACTTCATCATGATTCTGTACGTTATCTTAACAGCAATGAAAATAGATTTGGTTTGGCAATGGTTATAGAAAAATATCACCTTGTGGATAGTTTTCTCACATGTAAATTTGTTATTATTCTTCAAGTGACAAAGAATAAGTAGATGGCATGTCAACATGACATATCATTCAATATTTGATTTTTCGTTTTCACTTTCTGTTTTTTTCTTCATGTTATCGAAAGTAAACATTATTATGGAAGACTGTTTCAGTATGTAGTCAGATTTTTTTACATGGAATCATAATTGTCTCGAGTATACAAGTATTTTTTTATATTTCACCAATCTTTTCATTGCAATCACAATTTTGATAATTGATATGGTTTCCAACTTCTTTCAAAACTTCCAAATAAAAAAAATAAAAAAATAATGTTATCATTATGCAAATGATGTTATCCTCTTGCAATATATACATATATGATACAACATTATATACTTTCTTATTGCAGTGTAAGAATATTCAAGACTTCCAAATAATGCTTCCCATACTTAATTTTGTTTTCCCTTCTTCCTTTTTTCTCCTTATCACCTTTCATAAATTTTCCTATATATTCATGATGAAAAGAATTGTCATTGCACTAGAATTGCAGTCTTGCCTGATGTAAATTTCTTTTCTTTTTCCTGAAATTATAGAAGCAATGAAAGACTACATATAATGTCAACTTCAAGAAAAGAAGAAAATTATAATGGAATGTGTCTTCATGATTTGGTGTACATTTGACTAAAATTGCAAAGATTTTAAATTCCTCTTCTTCTCGTTATTGTCATTTTCCTGCAATTACTTCGAACTTTTTCTTGTCTCGAATGTCTTCTTTCTTTATATATTCGCTTGCTCTCAATTTCCCATTATCTTAACCATTAATTAAATTGTCTTTTTGTGACCTCATTGGTCCCATCTCCAAAATGTCATTTAATCACTATGACAACGACATGGAAACATCAATCAGACACCTAAGGTCATTGATAATAGGTCCTAGACCAGGGTTCCACACTAATAGACTATAGTATACATGGGACCAGTAAGTTTAACTTCAGGCCCAAGACTTTAAAGTTTAAACAGGGGGCTCATCCATGCTGACCCTAAAATTTCAATCCAGGGCCCCGTTTCATAAAACTTGTTATCAATAACAAATGCTAAATTTCTATGACAAATTTGCTCTCAGCCAATCAAAAGCCATGCTTTCAGTAGCTTATAACAGTTATTGCAACTTGCTATTGACAACAAAATTTATGAATCAGTGCCCAGGCATCTACATGTTAACGAGCCAGAAATAGGCTTCAAGTTTAAATCCAACCCAAATGGTCTAGGCCCTACATTTTGAAACAGGGCCAAGATCCCTAGTGGAAAGGGTTTATATAGATAGAGCAGTAGAGCTCTCAATAAATGTAATGTCTCACAGACACATTGAGTTGCTATCTAATGCCTACTTGCAGCTATAAATCATATATATATTTCTATCTTTTCCCTGATAAGCTTGTCCAACATGGCTATTGCACTTGTTATTAGGACTGAACTGGATGAGAACCAGAATGGAATTAGAACACACCATTAAACTGAAACCTTGAGGTCTATGTGATGCTAGCTCAGTTAAACCTAGTGAGTGGACGTAAGTCAGGTTAAACCAAAGGGAAGCTTACACCTCCGTCTTCCTGCTTTTGTTAAACCCAAACATTTGCTGGAGCAGGCTTCCAGCGATGTAGTGCATGCCGACAGTCCAGAGAACTTCTAGGGACTACTCCCGAGGCATCTAATGCCCTTTTTATATTAAAATTGTTTGTCTTCCCCACACTACTTGTAATCTGTAGCTAATCTTCGTGATAGGCTCCATAGCCCTTTGAAGATTACCAGAAGAAGAAGAACCTGACTTTTGACTCGCATTACATTATACCCAACAGCGGGTTTAAATTTTAGTAGAATACAGACCCAAGAGATTTCATACGCAATGTTTCACGGTTCCCTCACACAGGACTATGTATAATTCCCAATTAATGTGTTTATAAATCTCACAAGCAGCAAAAATAAAAAAAAAAAACCTCTGGAGAAATTACTCCATGCAGGAATACTTAGAGCATGGCCTACAACGGATCAGAGAGTGTTCAGTTTAATTTGGCAGAGGACCTCATCTGAATAAACTCTTAAACATAGCTAGCTTTGTTTGGTTCTCATCCAGCATTGAAACAGTCAATATAAATCTATTTAAACAAAAAAAAACATAAAGAACATACCAGTCGTCATAGCTCAAGTATTTAAATGTATTACCGTGATGGGAATGTTCTAAACTTGACATCTATAACCCCACCCTTGCTACCATGTATATATGACATTAAGTCACATTAATCAGACATGCAGCATAACCGAGTGTTGCCCTAGATTCCTGTTTACAGGAAAAATCCATTCCATTCGTCATGAAAATGTGTAAATATGTTTTGAACATGGAAACAGAAGGAGTATTATCAACTATATCTATATCTCTACTTCCTTCTTTGACTTCTTTTTCTTCTTTTTTGGCAAGAAAATGGCTTATATACATGTATATACAGTATATACAGGAAAAAGTGGGTAGTGTTGATTTCATTATTACATGTAACGCTCTTTCAACTTTTTCCAAATTTAATTTTTTTTTCTTCTTCTTCTTTTTTTAATCAAAAGTGAGTTGCGGTATTTGAAAACATTATATTCAGCATTTTATCCTGCGAATTACAAGATTAAAGATTGATGTAATTCATCCACAGTAATCAATTGCTGGCCATGTGATTGATGGATAGATCGTCGGTTTCAAACCAAAAATTATGATTTCTTTCTCCTCGCCCCCCCCCCCCCCTATATTTCCTCTCTCTCTCTCTCTCTCTCTCTCTCTCTCTCTCTCTCTCAAACTCCTCCACTTCTGCACATTCTTTCATTTGTGTAAGCATTTCATAAAGAGTGGCTTTACATGTAAAACAGACATTGAGCACCAGAACCTTATTAAAGCGAGTAACATAATATGAGATTCCGAAAAACATTGCTGCAATATATATATATATATATATATACCCAGTATATATATCATCCTTAAAGGGCAGATGTTGAATTGTGAAATCCCCAATTGATAATCAAATAACTAGGAAATTATATATATATATAAATATATATATATATATATATATATATAGTATATTTATCATCCGTAAAGGGCAGATGTTGAATTGTGAAATCTCCAATTGATAATCAAATAACTAGGAAATTCAAGATTGCACATTTATGTGTTCAACTATCGTTAATGAAATTCATTGAAAGGGTTAATAATCTTCCAACTTGTATCCCTTCCTCTGATGTTTTATACCACAGTCACACATACAAAACAGAAAATAAACCAAACAACTAATTACATCGCCCTGAATGGCCTGACATCTGAGAGTTTGGTTTTTAGCTTGGAATCAGTTTGGACGTCTGACCGAGGTATCATGTTAGCACAGTTGTAAAATGAAAGGCCCTCTTTGGCATAAAAGAGCACTTCTTGAAACATTTCGAACACTGTCAATTTGAACTTGTTAATGAAAACAACAGATTAACGGTTTAGTTAGTGGTAAATTAGAGTGTGACAGTCAACCACACAACCCTTAACTCACTCTTAACCCATTCCATTCTGGAACCGGGTGGTCCCTGTATTAAACCTATGGGTATGTGAGAATCAAGTAGTCAACTGGTTAATACGAACACCAACTAGTATGCACCTGTGACTGATGGCGAGACTTGAGGAGGGAGATGTCCGAGAGGTGCTTCTCCGTCTGCCGCCCCTCCCTGGAGCTGAACTCCTGCTCCAGGTCCCGACGGAGCCGGGAGACGGCCTCGGCGTGCTGGCGCTCCAGGATGAGGCGCATGCCCTCCAGGCGGGCCACCATCTCCTTGTCAGAGTCCGTCATCATGGAGCCCACCTGTTGATAGGGAGAATAGAATGATAGTGGTGGTAGTTATTTTACCTGAAATGCTTGTTAGTAAGCAACCAGAAGACCGACAGCTTTAGGTCCTCTCAAAGGGACCTGGTAATGAGGAATAATGCCTTACCAAAGGGCACTAGTGCATCACCTTGGTTTTGGACCCGGGTCACCGGATTACGAGAACTCTGCTCTACCAACTGAACTATCGGCCTCCTACCGGGTACCCATTTAACACCTGGGTGGAGAGTGGCAAATGTAGATGAACGAATTGCCAAAGGACGTTAGCGCCAAAGAATAACACAGGAGAGGTACATATGTTTAGAAGTGTTGTGGTCTGGTGGATTAGTCACTTGACTGCAGATCATAAGGTACGGGGTTCAAATCCCAGCCCCGCACTATGAACGTCCTTTGGCAAGACGTTAATCTACATTTGCCACTCTCCACTCAGGTGTTAAATAGGTACCCGGTAGGATGCGAAAGTTAATGTAGTTTGCTCAGGATTGTGAGCGTCTGTAAAATGACGCCTGGCTGGAATGGTCCCCAGAGAGTGGAGAATGTGTATACATTGTGTGCGGGCAAGCCTGAATCCGATGACCAGGGTAATGATATATCTGTATCTCAAAAAGAGACATAATATCAACATTATTACTTTCATCACCATCACCAGCTTAATCACCATCATCACAATCGTTATCAACAACATCATCATCACCATCTTCATCATCAAAACAAATGCTTTGTGTTGTATTGTTATAGTATTAGGTCTAATACCTGATTATCGTGTTTCCTCCTGACAAATGCTTCTCTATTCCTGTACTCTAGCTGTTGCTCTCTGAAGCTGGCTTCCCACTTCCTCAGCTCAAAGTCTTTCTGCTGCAGCTCACATTCTAGGTTGGATTTCTCATTCTGCAGCTTCCTGGCTTGATCCTTCAATAAGAACAAGAAAAAGAATCTTTGAATTTCATCCAAACAATTGTGCAGCATAACCTTCTATGTTTTTTATTGTAAGAACTTTTACGACAATTACTTAAAGAGAAGGTTAAGTTCTGGGGAGAGGTGAAAAATAATTTGTGAGCTTCATCATTGTTATAATGCAAGTGTGGAAGAACATCAGAATAACAATTTTCCCTGAAAAGCATGATTCTACAAAAGCTTAAAAATGAGGCCCGATTTTTATGCCACATGTTCCTGTAGTGCTTGTTACTTTACCAAGACTGGGCAAATTTGTTATCGTTTTGATGACTCCACAACCTTGCAGTACACACAAATACTAATATGCTACATGAGCAACATTTTCTGATCGATTCCACGACGCTTCGTTCATAATGCAATCGCATAATTAGAACTGAACTTTATCTTTAAGAGGCCTTGTCTTTCATTCAGTTATGCTACAAGTCTATTATTGCAGTCTGTTTCAAACATATTAATTTATTCAAGAAGTCCATTTCAGAATTTACTAAAAACCTAATCAAATATTTATTTTGGGGAGCAAGATTAAGTAGGATGTACTAGACATAATGCAGAGCTGCCAACCTTGTGCGACCCCAAAAAAGGAATCATGATGGCAAAAAAAAGGGAATTAAAAAAAACGAAACTTACAACCACGCGCGACACAATTCCAATGCAGAAATGTTCATTCATCATGCCGTTTTTTCCCTACAAGCAGGAATTTTTTTGGTGGTTATTTTGGTATTATCGGCATTTCATTCTTTTTGAAAATATTTTTCTTTTCAATTATGTTTTAAATTTAGTTTTCTATTGAATTTGTGATCAAATCACCATTTAAGGGCAGTTGTTTGACGTGCGGTATGTAAAAAAAAAATTAAAAAATAATTTTTTTTTTTTTAAATTTTAAAATTTTAAAAAAATTTAAAAAATTTAGAAACGTATTTTATGAAGAAAAAACGTAATACCATAATTTTGAGGAAAAAACGGAATGGTTGGCAGCTCTGATAATGGGGGACAGAGGGGGTGTATGAATTGAAGTCATAATTTCTATTCATGAGCCATAAAACTCAATTTTCCACAACATCGGCACTCAAATTATAAGAGGTATTTGTTACAAACATGTTATTACCTGCAGTTTCTGTTCAAGTTCCTTGACCTCTGATTGTAGGGACCTCTTCTGCCTGGCAAGCTCCTGCTCCAGTGTGTCTTTCTCGTGGAGCAGTTCTTCCAGACTCTGTTGATTGCCAAGTTGCTTCTGAAGCTCCATCTTCTCATCCAACATCTGCTGCTCCACTGCCTCTTTCTCTTCCAACTTCTGCAGCAGCATGTCTTTGGCGCAGCGAAGAGCCTCCTCCCGCAGAGCCTGCTCATCGAGAGGCTGCCCATTGGAAGTGGTCTTCTGCTTCTCCAGTTGGTCCTTCAGAGCACTTTGTTCAGATTGAAGCTCCAGGTACTGTCTTCCAAAGGTGTCTTGGACCTCTTGAGATATTGCTTCAGAAGCTTGCATTCGCTTCTCTAGGTCACTGATCTTGGTGCTCAGGTCATACTTCTCCTCCTCCAGCTTGGCATTTGTCTCCTGCAGGAGCCCAATCTGGAGGCTCTTCTCCGTAAGGATCTCATGCTCCGTCTGATCCTTGTGGGCAAGGCGCTTCTTCAGGTCAATGATCTCCTGCAAAAGGGCGTCTCTGGATGTGGGTGACTCCCCTTCATTAAGTAACCTTGCTGTTGTGTCTCTCTCCTCTTGAAGTGCCTCCTTGAGAAGCACGTTTTCTCTCTCATACAGCTCTTGGTTTTCCTGCAGCTCTTTCTTCAACTTTCCAATTTTATCTTCCAGACCAGCAATTACTGCAGCCTGATCTTCCAGTAACTCAGGCTGATGATCTATCACTTCCTTCAACTGCTGGTTTTCTCTTTCAAGGTCTTCATCGACCATTTTCAACTCGTTAATCTGCTCTTTTTCTTCTTCAATAAGATCTTCAAGAGCTTCCTTTTCTTCCTCTCCTTCCTGGAGAAGAACCTTCAGTGCCGACAGTTCTTGTTTGAGCTGATGTTCCCTATGCAGCAAGAAATCCGTCTCCTCACTGGCTTCTGCAAGCTTGGCTTTAAGATCTTTATTCTCAGTCCTGAAAGTTTCAACAGTGGTCTCTAGATCACTGGGCAGACTGGTAAAGTCTCTCCCATCACTTGTGTCTTCTCCTTCACCTGGTGATGGCGCAGCTGCAACTGAAGCAACAGGAGCAACTGTACCAGCTACAATCATCTCTTCTTCCACAGGAATTAAATGGGAAGGCTTATCTGGTGTACCTTGCCTTTCTAGCTCCATCCGGATCTCTTCTTTCTCAGCTCTCAACTCGCCAATCGTCCTGTCATAGTTTGCTACAGCCTCCTCAAAAGTCTCTCTCTGTGCCATAATTTCAACGTCTCTAACAATCTGCATAGACTGCTGCCTTGTCAGCTGCTCTTCCAGATTCTCCACATGCAACTCTAACTCTTTGTTCCTGGCGTCCATGGTTCGGTATTGACTAGAGAGGGAGTCTAAGGTTCCTAAGGCACTGTCTCTCTCTTGTCTCACCCCATCAGCATCTGCAGTATCATCTTCCCTGTCAATGAAGGAAGCTATTCTGGACTCCAATTCCCCCACTTGGCTCTCCCGTTCTTTCTCTTCAGTTTCAAGCTGGTGCTGTAACTCTTCTTTTTCTGTGAGTAACTGATCTCGCTCTTTCTCCAGAGTAGACATCTTATCATCCAGTTCATTTCTCTCATCAGCTTGTCTACACACCTCTCCCTCAAGATCACGTATCCTCTCCTCCGACTGCTCAACCTCTTCTCTCATACGTTCCAATTCTTGGACAGCCTTCTCCAAAAGTTCATCAGCTCTCCTCTTCTCCTCTTCCAATTCCCTTAGTTTATCTTCCAGCTCGGCAGTTGCCTCTTCACTTGTATCTTTGGATTGTGCATTTTTCATTCTTTCAATCTCGTCATTTGCCTCTGCCAAGTCAGATTCCAATCTTGGCTTTTCTTCACTGAGCTGCTGCATCTCCATCATTTGCACTTCCCTGAGAGACGTCATCGCTTCCTGAAGGCCTTCCATTTCATGACCACTCAACTCTAGCTGTTTCTGAAGCTGTTCTACCTGCTCTTCAAGCGCTTGATTCCTTGAGTCAAGGTCAACAGCTCGTTGGCCATGTTCCTCAATGAAACTCTTTGCATCACTCAAGTCCCTCTGCATTCTCTCAATCTCCGACACAAGACTTGCATTCCTTTCTCCCAGCCCTTGCAGTTCTTCCGAAGGAACATCATCTACCTTCTCTTTCAGTTGTGATTCTAGTTCTAGGATCTTGTTATCAAGTTCGCCTCTCTCCTGATCATGAACTTGAGTGGCCTTTGCTATCTCTTGCTTCAAGGCCTCCATCTTGGCAATGTACCCTGACACTTCTATCTCATGGTCCTGCTCCTGGGATTGTAGTTTACTGTTCATTACCTGCATCTTATCATTCAGCTCATCTCGCTCATTGTCATAGAAGGGCGAGTCAGTAGAAGTGTCGGCCTGGAAGTGTATGCCAAGTAACTCATCCTTAAGCTGTTCGACCTCGGCACTTAAATTGTTCTTCTCAAAAGTAGCGGCAGCCAGCTCCTCTCTTACTGTCTCTTGGTCACGGGTGGCAACTTCCAGTTGTTCAAGAAGATCATCTCTGACTTCAGACAAGTCTTGCACTTCAATTTCTAGCTTATTCATCAAATCTTTCTTCAATTCTGTAAGAACCCCGCCTCCTTGTGATGCTTCTTCGTTAACCATTCCAAAGGCGACAGGCTCTTCCGACGGGGTTTCGGACCGCCCTTTGTCCAACTCCTGCCGCAACTTTTCATCATACTGTTCTTGAAGCTCAGCTCTAACGTTCTGGAGTTCCAGCACAAACTCTCGCTCCTTTTCCGTCTGGACCTTCTTGATGCTCTGCTCAAGCTGATCTTCGACTGCTTTTGTGGCGTCTCTTAAGTTGTCTTTATACTCCACATCAAGCTGAACTTTGAGTCTCTTCAGCTGTCCTTCATGATCGTACTTGAGGTCTTCCATCAGGTCATCATAATCCATCTTTATTTGGGCAGCTAATCCCTCTCTGATTTCCTGCAGTTTATCCATAGAAGGTCCACTCGCCTTGCTTTCTTCAAGTTTTCGCTCCAACTCCTGCACTTGCGCTTCATACTCGGCTAGTTGTTCATCTTTTTCCTTACCATTGTAATCCGATTCTGCATCAAAGTTGGGCTTGTTCTCCAGTTCAGAACTCAACCTGGCAATCTGCCCTTCGTATGCTTCCCTAATTTGAGTGAGTTCTCTGTTATCCTCATCGATCCTGTTCAACTGCTCCTTCAGTTCTTCCATCTCGTCAGCATGTTTCTTTCTTTCTTGCTCATTCTCAGCATTCAAGTCAGCAGCGGTCTCACTATCCCGTTGCGTTTCTTCAAGTTGTTTCATAAGGCGGGTTATCTGCCCCTCATAGGTGTCGCGGATTTCAGTTAGTTCCTTGCTGTCATTTAAGGCTTGGTTGAGCTTGTCCGTCAGGTCAGATACTACATCTGCCTGGTACTCTCGCTCTCTCTGCTTCTCGCTCTCCAGCTCATCCATCTTCACTTTGGATTCTGCATATAGCTCTCTCCTGAGGATATCATTATCAGCAGCATGCTTCTGTTCAATCTCTTCATTTTGTCTGGAGAATTCTGTCACAAGTTTCTGAAGCTGCTCCTTGAGCACTTCTGCTTCGTCAGCTTTCATCTGGAATGCCTTTCCTTGTTCGTCCAGCTGATTCTTCAGTGCACCAACCTCCACGTCCGCAGCTCCTGCGTTCGACCTGGCTAGAACCTGCAGCTCATTGCAGCGTTGTTGCAGCAACTCTGTTTCCTGGTGGTGGTTCTCCATCAGCTGCTGCTTCATCAACATCATCTGGTTTCCGTAGCTTTCATCCAGCTCCGCCCGAAGAACCTCGATGAGCTCTTCCTTCGGGAGGGCGCCACCATCCCCTCTAAGCTCGCTGACCTGATGTTTAAGGGTCGCGACCTCACCGGCATGCTCCCGAACCACAGCCTCCTTCTCTTCTTTCAAATCAAAGAGTTCCTCAGACTTTTTTGAGTATCTATTGGCAAGTTCGTGCATCAAAGCTTCTTTATCAGCTACGGTTTGGCGGAGATTAACAACCTGATCGTGAGCTTTGGTTAGTTCCTCTGCAAGTTCATTAACTTGAGTCTTCCCCTGGCTCTGTAATGTCTCTCCTGCCTGTAAAAAAAAAATTTAAATCTGAATTTAATAACAATGTAAAATAAAAGAGCTATAGTTAACGTGCCAAGAAAGCCTGACTGCTGTCTCAAAAACACCTCACACAAGCCAAGTACTATTTTCAGTACAGGTATTTCCTAAATGGTAAGCCTAATTCTGTTTCAGCACAGAGAGGGCTAATAAAGTGAATAGCTTTGCTCTAATTCTAGTCGGGGGGGGGGGGGAGGGAATGGTTAATATAATACTTTAATACATCAATAACATCATCAAAACAAACTTTTATTTTATATTCATTGTATTTACAAGCCATGTATCAGTTTCAGTTTAACAAGAAAGACAGCTGGTGATTGATATTTCAAAACATTTTTTTAAATGAAGGAGCTATGCCTCACCATTTGCTATGTGACTACTATATGTATTTCATAAATTGTCATGTTTGAGGGGAATTGATGCGATATATTAATTCAGTGATACATTATGTTCTCATCTAAATGCAACAAAACGCTAAGGATCTGCGGATCACAAGGTTTGTGGTTCGAGTCACATCGGACACTAATGTCGGTTGGCAAGACATTAATCCACATTTACCACTCTCCACCAAAGTGTAGTTAAAGGGAAAGTCCACCCCCAAAATAAGTTTGTTTCGATAGAGGCAGAATAATAAGAAAATCAGGTGAGTGAAAGTTTGAGCAAATTCTGAATGAAAATAAGAAAGTTATGAATTATTGAAGTTGTGATCAATCAAATACAAATTGGCAACTCTGTGACTTATTATACGAGCTCACCTTCATTTGCTTTGTGCATAATATTCCATAAAATCATGTTTTCTTCGTTATTGATGACGGAATATATATTTGTTCCTTGCAGGGGGAGTATAGAAACATATTTGCAATTAATATATTTAGGGTGCATGTATGGTTGAAATTTTTCTTGAGGGAAAATGAAAATTTTAGATTTTTTTAGTACTGAGCAAATGGAAGTTGAGCTCGCATGATACGTCATAGAGTTGCCAATTTGTGTTTGATTGATCACAACTTCAAAAATCCTAACTTCCTTATTTTTAATCGGAATTTGCTCAAACTTTCACTGACTTGTTTCTCTCATTTTTCTACTCCTATTAAAACTAACTTAATTTCAGGGTGGACTTCCCCTTTAATACATCAATAATATCATCAAAACAAACTTTTATTTTATATTCATTGTATTTACAAGCCAAGTATCAGTTTCAGTTTAACAAGAAAGACAGCTGGTGATTGATATTTCAAAACATTTTTTTAATGAAGGAGCTATTCCTCATCATTTGCAATGTAACTTGTATATGCATTTCATAAATTGTTATGTTTGAGGGGAATTGATGCGATATATTAATTCAGTGATACATTATGTTCTCATCTAAATGCAGCAAACAGCTAAGGATCTGCAGGTTGCAAGCTTTGTGGTTCGAGTCACGCCGCGACACTAACGTCCTTTGGCAAGACATTAATCCACATTTGCCACCCTCCACCCAGGTGTAGTACACCTGGAAGGATTTTATTCCTTGAAAGCTTTGAGTGCTTTAGGGCAGCAAGGCTAAAGCCAGAGTAATGATAGTACTTTGAAGGCACCCTGAGGAGCCACTGGGATGGATAAGTGCACAATATAAATGTTGCTTTTATTATTATTATCATTATATTTATTACAAAACCCCTGACTGGTTTAATTTTTCCAAAGATCCAATCCAATCTAATCCAAGAATTTATAAAGCGCCAATATCTAGTTGCCTAATCAAAGATGCTGACAAGACTGAAAAACTACCACAACAACAAAACAAATGTCTGTTCATGATTCTAACTGGGAAAGACAAAACAGCAGTGACTAATTGTAAGCAATCGGAAATAGGTATGTCTTCAGTTGATTCCTAAAAGGGGATAACTGGTGACAAGAGAGAAGGATTTGGGGAAGATCATGCAACTTACGGTTCTGAGTTGTGACTGTAATGATTGTATCTGGTGTGAAAGGTTTTCGGCCTGATTACTGGCCTCACGTTGGACCTCATCTCGACTCTGGAGGGCTCCCTGCATGTTATCAGACAGCTGCTTGATGATGTCGTCTCTTTGGGCTAATGCCGTCTGGAATTCAATGATCTGAAAAAAGAAAAAAAATACATGATTACATGTACATGTAGCACATTACTTTTATTTCAAAAGAGGAAACCATCATAAATTAGTACTATCAACCACCTCTTTGAGTTAATAATAATAATGTTCAGCTTTTATATAATACATCTCGGACGTCTCTAAGCGCTTTACAGATATACTATTACCCCGGTCATTGGATTCAGTGCTTGCCTGCACAAACTGTGTGCACAATCTCCACTCCCTGGGGAGCATTCCAGCCAGGCGTTACTTTGACGATCAAAAAACTGTTTGACCAACAAGTTTCCTTGTCCTTTTTTTTAAAAAGCATGTGCAGTTACAAGGTATTGAACAGAATAGGTAAAAATGTTACTTTTTAAAAAACAAATTAACAAGAACCTCAATGCATGACACTCCTGATTGTAAAATAGACTAATCTCATCAATTTGAAGGAATACTTAATGCTTTATACATGTATGATTGATCACATACATGTCCATGTAAAGACAGTACATGCACATGTTAAGGCATTAAAGATATTGCAGGAAAATACAAGGGTGAAAGACACACCCACATACTGTAAGCAAAACCATGAAATAACAAAACAGATATCTACAGTGTATGCATTACTACGCAATATATTCACCTATTTGTCACAAGCTACTGTACATACCGGTATATGTCACATCAATGTATTCCCACTCACACAGCCATTAAAGCATTATTATTCAAAGATATTTCTACCAATTCGAACTCTGCAACAGGCACAGGCACAGCACATACGTGCAGGGTAATCAATAATGGCCCAGTCTAATCAAATTTGTTCAAATGTGAAATGAATGTCATGGATGGTGGACTCTTGAATCTATACCCTGGGGCAAAGTGTACTGGTATTATTGACAAAGTCAAAGTCCATTGTACAATCCTTTGTAACAATGAAAAATGGACCAATTGAAATCAATATTCTTTCATTTAAAAAATAACAAAAACTGATTTGATTGGATAATCTTGAGTTCTGCAAATGACATTGATAAATTCTCTCAGAATCAAATGAAACTATTAAACATGTAACATAATATCTTCAAGAAAAATAAAGGAAATCTGCAAACGATTTGGGCAGAAAGTATAATTAAAAGTTAATGTGTTTGTGTTGTTCAGAAAGATAATAAAATCAAGCTAGTTCCGATCACTCATGGTCTCATACATCATCTCAAATTTCATTTCTAGCACATGTTTTTGAATTGGTATATATTTACTGGTCCAAATAAACCATCTACTACACGATTTACAACTTCAAACAAGTTTTCTCAAAATATAATTCCTTTCTGTATGTTTTATTTACTTAAGTTTTCTTAATGCCCCCATCCCCCTCCCCCGAAAAAATCATACAATGTATGCATAAAAATATATTGGATTAAGTGCTTTGAAAAGTAGTAGTCGTAGTAGTAGAACTTGCAGTAGTTTTAGTCGTAGTTGTAGTCGTAGTAGTAGTGGTAGTAGTAGTAGCTGCAGTAGTAGTAGTAGTAGTAGTAGTAGTAGCTGCAGTAGTAGTAGTAGTAGTAGCACTAGTATTACAGTAGTAGTAGTAGTAGTAGTAGTAGTAGTAGTAGTAGTAGTAGTAGTAGTTGTAGTAGAAGTAGTGGTAGTAGTAGTAGCTGCAGTAGTAGTAGTAGTAGTAGTAGTAGTAGTAGTAGTAGTAGTAGTAGTAGCTGCAGTAGTAGTAGTAGTAGTAGTAGTAGTAGTAGTAGTAGTAGTAGTAGCACTAGTAGTACAATAGTAGTAGTAGTAGTAGTAGTAGTAGTAGTAATAGTAGTAGTAGTATGAAAGACAACTATTAATGATCATACCTTGAGGTTGTATTGTTCTATTGCTGCATTGTACTCTGCCTCTCTCTCTGAGGTTAGAGGTTCAGGCTAGGGGAAGAAGAAAAAAAGAGAATAAAGTTTGAGTCATTAACAAATTTGATGTAGACTTATACATTTAAAGGCATATACATATACAGTGAAAACTGTCTATAAAGACCACCCAAGGGAGACAACAAAAGTGATCTTGATAGACAGTAGGTCTTTATGTACAGGTTCCTTTAGTACATGTTTCAATGAAAAAAATTGTTCAAGGGGGGGAAATGTGGTCTTTGTAGACAGGTGGTCTTTCTTTACAGGTGGTCACTAAAGCAGGTTTACTGAAGTTATTAAGTATGGTACCAATTACTTGTAAAAAAAAAATTATCTTCATTATTGTATCATGCAATTCTAATGAGTTAAAAACTAACAAAGCTTTGTACTGCCCATTGTTATAACATTGCAATAATTGTATCAGCAGCTACAGTGAAACCTGTGTATAAAGACCACTCAAGGGAAGCTGAAAAGTAGTCTTTATGAACATGTTTTGATGAGAAACCATATTCAAGGAAAACAATAAATGCCGCCTTCATAGATAGGGTGATCTTTCTTTACAGTTGGTGGCTAAAGCAGGTTTGACCGTATTTTACTTCTGTATGTCTACATACTTCAAGAAATGTTGCAAAGATGATAAGTTTGACATGTGCGCCTCCCTAGCTGAAGCAGAGAGTACTTCTATGACTAGACAACGTCTTCCTGTTTGGGTTTTGCGTTTATCATGTGACCCAGTGACCTTTAGGCATGTAACATACATGTGTACTATCAATGCATGTGCTAAGGACTGTGTATGTGTATGGTTTGAGTTAAGTACATGGACAACACAGTGTTCCTTTCAGGTCAAGCATTCACAATTCAATTCAAATCATATATATTTGATTTTCAACAGAAGGATAAACAAAGGCATTACAAATATTTTTACAGAAAGTATGAACAAATTTATGTAAATTTTTATCTTGATAAGTATAAAAATACACTGTACACATAAATAAATTGTAAGAATAAAAAAAAATAAAAAGCATTGTTTACTTTGGCTCAATACCTCTTGATTCAGAGGGTTAAAAAATATATACCAGAAACGTGGAAAGAAAGGGCAAAATTTTCTGCACATATTGTGTCCATTTTTGTTATATGACCACATGGAATAGAGAAAATATTGAGTTTTGCTCGGTGTTTGAAATTATGCAAAAACACAATAAATAATGAAACTCTAATTTTAAGATGAATAACATACATGTATGGATGCTGCTTATAATTATCGGCTTGCACTGTGATGTAGATATACAGTAGGCTTACGGTTGGACCATGTGAGAGAGGGTGGAGGATTGGGGAGTTCTGAAAAGGACTGTCGGTAATCTTTCTTTAAGCTCATTCTAAAGAGAAATGTAGCGCCGGTTGGAGAAGAGTAGGAGGGGCTCAACGTTTCGAACAGGTTGACCATCTGTCATTAGGAGTGGGGAATAGCTGGCGTAAAATATAATAAAAGAATTTCTTCTTGTACGGAGGTTCATTATTTGATACATCTTTGAGGAATCTACCTGGATGGAAGCACTCTGCCAATGATGGTTATCGCCTGCCTGTTGGTGAGCATCTATGTTGTTCGGGGGTGGCGTGGCACCTGCTGCAGCCTGGGCGTCGGCCTGCACAGACAGGGCGTGGTCCTGAGCCTCCTCCATGGCCTTGGTAGCATCATCCAGCTCCTGCTGCATCATCCTGAGAGCCAGCTCCTTGCCCTCCAGGGTCTCCTCCAGCTCCAGGATTCGGTCCGAGGAAGCATTGTGGACGGGGGATGCAACGTCATAGCGACTGTCAGAGTCCTGCAGAAGAGTATTAAAAAAAAGGATGTTATGTAAATGATTACCGTACATTCAATTCATTCTCCACTGCAGCCTAATTCAATACGACAATTTCAAGTCATTATTTCCTCAAGGCAAAAGTTCTCCTATATTTCCTGAACTTCAAGTTCTTTTCCTTGACTAAAGAACTCTCAGCTCTATTGTATTTTGTTTAGCTGGGAACGATAGTAACTCAACACAAAGTCAGAAGTCCTTGTAATCACTTTTCAGCATCATGAAGCCAGGTACATGTAGCGTTAAATTTGCTATCCGAATAATTCCAGCTAACATGCCAGATAATGAAGGCAATCACCAGTCACTTCACACAAACAAATCTTGACAAATTCAGTCTACTAATATGGCATCACTCATGTTTCCCATGATGCTCGTATTGCTCTGTTAAAACTTGGATTCTAAACAAGATTTGTTTGGGAGAGTTAACTGTTAAAACTTTATACGGTACCTCAATCTCTCTTGATCTACAGGTCATGACAGATATTTAGGTTCATCAATTCCCTAACCTCTACAAGGCTACAAGCACATGTACACTGTATGTTTATATGCATAATCATTTATGTGCTTGTACTCTAATAAATACGACCTTAGACACCACATTGGAATAGGATGGATGGTAGTTATAATCTACACATCAAATTAAAATCAGGTATTTATTAAAGCTCACAAGGCCTCTGCACTTTGCAGTTTGTTACTCTGATTGGTGAATTATGTGTACATTTATTTTTATCTTTTGGTTTCCAGTCCACAAAGCTTTGTCGGTGAAAAGATGGAATTTCATATCCATTCATCCACTGGATTGTATGCACACTGTCTATTGTAATGCAGATCAACACAATCAAGCAGAACTTGCTATGGTCTACCAGTTGATTGGTGGTGTGAAACAAAAATTAAAAGAAAATGATTTCACCAAAAAAACAAATTGATGGGAGAACTTTGAATTATTAGAGCATTTCTATCAAATCATTCTGAGTCTAGTATTGTTCAGAATGAAATTGATAGTACATACTGTACTGTACAGTATGTACATGTACATAATTATTCCATTTTTGCGCGATTAAGTTGGATTAATGCAATTTTAGACATGAACTTCACAATCTCAATAAACTGACACATCTAAATGTCAACAATTTAACAACTTCCAAATATATTTGTATTCAGTATTTCACGATACCTGTATGCTCTATGGCCCTTTATGTACACTGTACAGTATGTACAGGTAAATGCAGTGTCAGTCTTACTGACTGGCGTCTGAATGAAATATTCACAACTACACCTAAATATGCCGAAAAGTTCAAAGATGTACACATCACTCATATATCCATGCAATCTTCTCTGAAAATGTACAGCTTTTAATTCAACAGGAAATGAATGCCTGAATAGATAGGACAATATAATGAATGATGATGAACACATGTGGATGTGTTAACATATGTTCATATTCATCTTCACCCAAGAGCATTTCATCATGGTGTACCAACCGATTTTTCACCATCTGGAAGAGCACTCAAAAATCATCAGAACATTCCTTTACAAGCAATGTGACCAAAAACTATATTCTCCTATGAACTTGTATGCTAAGGAAGATCGAAATCTTATGAAATAGGAAGCTTATTGTGGGATTTTACTACCGGTAATTGTATGATTGTGGAAAAAAAACATGTTGTTTAGAGAGAGTATGAAGTTAACCACACAAATTAGGCAGACATACAGTGTACATGAATGTAAGAAGTCACATGAACTGCTTTGCTTTGATTTCATTCATTTCCATTTGCATGATCATTTTTGTTAAACTAACAGAAATTAATACCATAGGAGCGAGAGTCTTCATGCACATTTAACTTTCATATATTTCCCTGGAAATTTACACTTGTACATGTACTTACTACAAACAGTACATTTAAAAAAAGTTACATTTACAAAAAGTAACATTTTAGTTTCTGAGGAACTTCTGAGGAAGGTCAACTTTGTTATCAAGGTGTCAGAAGTTCCTGAGTGTACACAGCCACATTGTAGGTTACTATTTGGCAAGCCCCACAAGGCCCACACAAGCTACATGTAGAGCTCAAACTAAGTCAAACAAAGTTGCAATTATCATAATTCACATGAGGTACATTAACAAATTGTGAGGTTAAAAAAGGAGGAATCAACGTAGCAGCGCTAGTTTGACAGGAAGCATGATTTGTTATCAGGACGTCAAAACTTCCTGAGTCAGTGAGTGCCACATGTACATTTACATTCAGCTATTTGGCAAGTTACGAGTAAACAAACCACTAACCCTACTAAAGACACACAGAATTCACATAAACTAAACTACATGAAAACACGTTCTTTACACAGGGAAGGAGCAAGATAGCAGCTAGCCGGGTTTTGACAGGAAGAAGAATGTTTTGTTATCAGGACGTCACACAAGTTCATGAGGGCCACACATACATTGTACACTGTACATTTGACAAGTTAAAGAGTTTAAAAAAGTGTAGTTATACTTATAGCCCACTCAAGGTGCATTCAATGTATTCTCATCATTTGTGAAAAGAGTCTTAAAGCCCCTCTGCACCAATTTGGCCAGGAGGGATTAGACCTCCCTGCAAGGTCACTGACAGGTGGTTATCTCATCAAATCAGCCCTCAATTAAAAGGGGATCACGGGGGACCAATGGTCACCGATTAGGCATTGTTTGCTATATTCATGTAGAGGGCGCGAGTACTGTACATGTACATGTAGCTATAAGTAGTGCAGTTGGACTTTAACAAGAAGAGGAAGCAAGGTAGCAGCTAGCCCGGTTTTGACAGGAAGAAAGATGCTTTGGTGTCAGGATGTCAGAGTTTCCTGAGCGAGACCAAGCTAGCGTGGGGACGCTACTTATAATCACTAAAACAATGCACCACTTCCATTTCCTTATAAATGTTAGTCGTGCTTCAGCTATAAGGCACACACATATATTGTACTAGTTTTCGCAGTGGTACTTGTGAAGCATAAGCTTGTGTCCTTTACTTTATTGTTATTTTGTGTGTGTGTGTTTTAAAATGATACCAATGTAACTGTGACAAATGAAAAATAACCTGCAATCAGAATGGAATAGTCCAAAGATGAGTTTTAATTCAAATAACACTACCTACATAGAGCAGATTTCATTCAATTTTAATTGAACTGTCCTTATTAGAAGTTTCAAATTATTTAGTTAGCCTACTATTAAAAATTTACAATTACCAAACATCCATGTAAAAATACAACAGCAACAACAACAAAACGCACAGCTACAATTACATGTACGTACTGTACAAGGATCCCCTTGCATAACACCTACTATAATGATGGTATCTTTGCCATCAATATTAACTACCATGGCAACATCACTCAACAGCCAATCAAATTAAGGTTTCCATGAAAGTCACAATTAATCGCAAAGTGGAGGACTTAGATGTTTGATTTGTTCAGATTTTTTCTTTTTTTTATCTTTGCCAAACCAAATGTACATGTACACCCTGTATGCATATTTCAACACCACATGACAATTGTTCATGAAAACAGCCAAAAGATTAAAAGCCTGAACTGGAAAGCCAATGTGGTCTTGAAAACATCAACTCGGATCAAATGGAGGATTTACTCCTCTATTGGAAAATTTGGTCTCTCCATGGGTTTGAAGCAAACACATTATTAACTGCAGACAACATTATCATCTCTGACTCTGATGGCATATAAATGTACAATCTGGGGTCAAAAAGCTGCGTGATTTATAATCATTCATCGCACATAAGATCAGTGAATTGATGCAGGGTCACAAATTATTATGTCATTACCCCCCACAAGATTGTCGATAATAGAGTCATTAAAGAACAACTCTGTCAACAAGATAAATTAAAGCAAGTGTGTGTTAGTATTTAAATGTTCCAAAAATAAAATTAAATACTGAGACAGAGAAGCACAAGATCACTCTCAAATTTAAGAAGTGTTCCAGACCTTGCTTCGAACCAGGACTTGGTACTAACAGGGGGACCAATAGTAAGTACACAATCTTCCCTAAATTCATCCCAAAAACCTAACAATTTGTGAAGTTTTAACAGAGGACATGTGCAAAGAGAATACCGGTATACAAATTTTTATTCAGAGCCCCTTGTGAAATAAATTGGTGTGGAGCCATGATTTTGGACACCAATCATACATGTACAATGCAATGAAAGCGTCCACATATTGCTTTAGAGAACCAGTACAAACATGAGTAACCATAGCTAGGAAGTGTCAATTACATTTCTTGGAAAACTGACAGATTGAACACAAAACTATCTAAGGCAGCAAAAATAAACATAATATTCCACAAGCTTACCTCATCAACAGACTCTCCATCAAAGGACTGGTCAGCCTGATGAAAATAAATGAGGGATCATGCAAAAATAATGAGTGAATTCATGCGAGCAAAATAAATGCAAATAAAATTAAAATGTATGTTTCGGTAACTGTTCAGCATAAAAACATTTACTTGTACATGTATGTACCAAGGTGAGCACATTGCAAAGATCAATTTCATAATGAAAATCAAATCTCTATGATGTTCTTAAACTTCTTTATGAGACTGAGCATGAGTTAGAATGTGGATACTTAAAAAATGAGTCGATTCACATAATCTGATTAAGGAGGGTTGAAATTATTTTAGTTTTGGGTGAGGGCAATATCTATACATCCTTTGATGCCCAAGGACTATTTGGGAGGGTTAATGGCTCAAACTTGATACTACAATCTCTCTTGAACTACATGGTGATGACAGTTGCTAGGTCTTCACAAATCCTTTCATTCCAGAGATATCTACATGAACATGCATGATCACCCTATAGCCCTATACATAGCCCTATACACTGTACATTGTACAAATGTATGTCCTGTACAAGGCCTCAAAGTATGCACATTAAGTTCTGTGCTTCACTTGATGCAACATGTTCACATGAGCGCTCATAATCATGTCCACCCGAACACAAATCTTCAGATTTACATCAGATTAACGTTGCAAGGGGCACCTAATCTTGCATGAACTAGCAATATCAAGATGGACACTGAAATGACTAAGATTAGCTGCGTTTACACTGCAATAAAAAAAATAATCGATTTTTCTCACAGAATAGAGGCGAAACATGCGAGCCGCCATCTTATAATCTATTATAATGTACATGTACATGTAGGCACACATTTTTTGTCCATTGTCATTAAAACTCAGGATGGCGGCCCGCATGTTTTGCCTCTATTCTTAGACTAATATTATCAATTTCAAAGTCATGAAAAGGATATCAACAAACATGGTCGACAACAACTCTTAATGACAAAATAATCTCAGCTACTGTAAGCATGTTTTTTTAGCATTTGATATCCCAAAACTTGTAAATTTTTCGGCTTTTAAAAAAAAAATTGCTGATTTTGTTTGTTGATAATTTTTGCCAATACCGATCAAAGGTGCGAGGGTGTCGCTCCAATCTTCCGATCTAATCAAAGCCCCAACTTACAGGGTTGCATACAGGTGTAATGCTAATTTATATTTTTACTTACAGTTATACTGTACATGTTATTCCTGGGGGGTGTTTCACAAAGATCCTACCGGTAAGTTGAACTTATCTCTAAGCTGGACTTAAAAATTATGGAAAGCCATTAGCATCCTTGAAAATATTTTGTAGAAGTTATTTTAAAAGGCATAAAATGTTGATTCAAATCATTCATATTTTCTATTATCATGGGAGATTTCATGTTCTTGATGTGGAATTGATGAAAAGTCTAAAATATTTGAATTTTTGCTTTTGAATATTTTTCATTATAAGGCTTCAAATGGCTCTCCATAATATTTAAGTCCAACTTAGAGTTAAGTTCGACTGAGAATCTTTGTGAAACACCCCCCAGGTACATGTATACAGGTACAAACTCTGTATTAGATTTTCTCTTGATACAAGTTAATAAATACTGTTGCATTTCTGTACATTCCATCCAACCTGTAACCCTCTAGCCAGCCAGGCACGAATGAATCTGTGTGTATTCAATCACGGCCTTGAGCAAATTTGCTGCACACACGTCAGACTGTCACAGATCAATATTCAGGGGCGTTCCATTCAGAATTTAGCATTAAAATATACACAAGGTGTTCAAATTGTATGCTACATGTACTGTACCTCTCTCTCTCTCTCTCTCTCTCTCTCTCTCTCTCTCTCTCTCTCTCTCTCTCTCTCTAATTCTAAAACCTACATGTACAATGTACATGTACGTCTGTCAAAAGGAACCAATTCCTAATCTATGCCACATGTACAACTTTGACAATGAATTCCCTGTTCTGTATAAACTATAAACGATATTTATGCATTTTAATTGGAAGAGGAGGCAAGAGATCTAGGAAGGCAGGCTCGGGAAAAACAATTATCAGAATAGATTAATTTTTCATTTTATGATACAACTTAAACATCTCTCTCTCCTCACCCCAACTTCAAATGTTTCTATGGCTTTTTCTATGTGTAATTTATTCCCTCTTCAGTTTAGCCAATGAGTTCAAAAACCTATCACACTAACTTTGCTTTCTTCGTACAATATGCCTCCACCATCCCATAACCCCCCCCCCCCCCCCCCAACAGATGTTTCTACAGTGTCTATATGAGTATATCTACCGGTACATGCATATAATTCTCTTTTACTTTATATGAAAAACTATTATTAAAAAAAATAAAAAATAGAAAATAAAAAGTCATTTAATTTTCTAATTCATCAAAAGAAAAATTGACATGTTGGTTGAGTTCTGATTTATTCAAGTTCTGACTACCATGCAATTCTCTCATTGTTTAACCTGTTAGTGGGTACAACTGTACATTACAAAATTAAGTAAGATATTCATGCTAAACTGTTTCCACACTGCAATTCAACTATGAGGCAGCACTATGTAGTCCCTCTTATTGAGATTGAAGCTGTAGTTTGTAACATACCTCAGAATGCAAGGGTGATGAAAAATCACTAGCAAAGCTGGAGTCAACTTGATGATCTTGATCGTAAGAAGAATCGTCACTTAAGGGCCCTGGAGTGCTGATGTCACTATCTCCGTTAGCCACACCAAGACCATCGTCTACTTGCTCTGTCGAAGCCTTCTTTTTCTTTTTCTTCTTCACTTTCTTGTCGGGAGAGGTCTTCTGTTTTTGAAACTTTGCCAGCTGCCAAGAAAGAGGTGGAAGGGATATTGCTTTAATAAATGATTACTAAAGAATGTCAGAGTTGAATGGACAGAACACTGCACATTTGTCAGCTTTCTTAAGAACATTTCAACATGTAGTATGTGCGCCTACAAAGAAAATGGAGCCATTAAGTTAAGAATCAACCAAAGGATTGTAGCGCATAAAAGCAGTGAATTGACAAATCCTCTCTCACATTTACAAGGAGGGGGTTTCACCAAATTTTAAGAAAGTTCTAGTTGTGTAACAGTGTAAGACAAAATTCAATTGAAATTATTGAGGACTAACAAGTTAATCCCCTTTTCAGAATTATTTTCAATTCTCACATGTGATCCAGTCAAATTAACCACAACGATATAGATCTAGGCTAATGACAGCTAGCAAAAATATCAAGTCAATTATTTTGTTATTCTGTTGCGTGTCCAGACAGATTGTGTATCCGGACAGTTGATTTAAAACAGTACAAAATGAGCAATTTGATCTTAATTAAGTTTACAAATACGATACAAGTAACAAATATTTCATAAATCTTCTAAGACTTTCTTTGATTGTACTGCACCCAAAATAAATTTCTTCAAATTTGCCCCTGACAAGGTTCAGATTGATTGTCTGATCTGTTTCCTTGTTTTTTAGGATTTAATTTGTCCGCGTTTACGTTTATGTGGACGATCCTCATTCTCGGACCTGCGTCCAGCTACTGCCACTGGTCATCAGTCATTTAGATCGAGATCTATTCAGTCATCATCACTTCACTTTTCAGTTTTCGTTCGTCAATAAAATTGAAATGTCATTTTTTGTAATTGATTGTTTATAATTTTGTAAAAATATCGATTTCCATGAGTTTCCTACACATCTACTGTAATGTGGAATTTCTTCTGAAGTCAAAATTATAAAAAGACGACTTAAAAGGCATCAGAATTCTGAAAAAGTCAAAGTCCGCTGCTGGAACTTGAAAGTCCAGCTCAATCCGAGACGAGTGACCGGTGAGTCACCCGCCGACGCTTCCCGCAACAACATTCACACAACCCGGTGAAACAATGTTTGATGCGACTCACTTCAAAGCTACTTTAAATAATAATTGAAACTTAAATAGTGAATACATACCCTCTCCCTGCCAGCTAGTAATTTCTTCTTTCTATCGTCTTCATCCATTTTACACCAACATCATCACAAAGTGTAGTAATTGTCATAACATTTCCTCAGGTCCGGTCTGCTTTGCTGGCACTTCTACGTGGAAGTTGTAACATGGCCGACGATAACGTTTAACGCGAAACGATATCAATATGAACTTTGCGCTCCGATCCCACAAGTTATCCTACACGAAACGCTAGATGGCAGCAATGTAAGAAAAGTAAAAATAGATTAAAATTCATGGGGCGGTGGGATCAGGGAGGTGAGACCTCCCTGGAGGGATGTAGTGAGAGGGAAGAGAATGATGGGCAACATAAATCTCTCAAAATTGTTTATTAGTTTAAATCCATTTATGTGACATCCCTAACATTGGTTCCAAGATGGATGGATGACAGTTTCATATAGCCAGCTTTTCAAAATGGAAGGGAGAACTGGTAATAATATAACCGAGCGTTTCGAACAGAAATCAAGTTCATGTCGTGTATTTTCTATGATTAACGAAACCTACATGCTAAATGTATCATGACGGTGATAATATTAAAACGATAATAATCCTTCAAAAGAAATTCCCTAGTGCTTAACATACTTATCAATAATGTAATGGTATCTGACTATATGAACATATACATGTCACAGTTTTTCCAGGTGGCTGATGCCTCTTGCTCAAAGTTCAACTGTGTAGGAAAGGATTTCATGCTTATTTATCTGTTTTTGCTCTATGACACTTATTTTTAATTAGAGAAACATATTTCTCAAAATGAGATTGCAAATTAACATTGCGGGCATATCGGGGTGTTTATATGGGATTAGACAAAATATATATATATATTTTTTTTAAATTTAAATTAAAAAATATAATTTCTTGTTATCAAATAAGTTTGTCGGAACAACTCAACAACATTTTTTTTTTTTGAAATGGTGCCACGGTTCTATTATTTCTTTGCAACTACACATCGAGAAATAAAACATCGCTCAAATTTAGACCGATATTCAAATAAGAATCTGAGAATGTAGCGAGTGAAGCGAGCAAGTTCAGAAAATTGTTCACAAGTTATCAAACTTTCACCAGTTTTGTCGGCATATCCAGGGGCCTCCTCTCTGGTATATTTCACAACCTAGTGTCAGAATTGTTGCGACATTCTAAAGTTTAAAACTTTCAGTTATACCAACATCGTCCTCCCCCTTCCCCCCTCCCAAGAAAAAAAAAATTAATTAATTAATAAATCAATAAATAAAATATAAAATATATAAATAAAAATAAAAAGATTTTGATAGGGGGAGGGGGAGGGGGGGGGGGAGGTGATTCATGTTAATTTACTTAAATCGTCAGTGATCATACAGATTATAATCTGCTAGTCAAAATGGCAAGTCATCACCTCTCTTCCTGAATTCTGTCTCTATAATCATGTCTGTCATATTCTCTCCCAACTCCCAAGTATATTCCAAATTTCCCTCCCCCTACCCGCCCCCTCTCCCTTTCTTCCCCTCTCTCTCTCTCTCTCTCTCTTTTACCCTCTCTCATTACATAAACTCTCATCAGATATTTCACTTATCGCTTCCTCTCCTGCTCTCTCTTTCCCTCACCCCCTCACCCTCTTTCTCTTTCGGTCTCTTTCTCTCTCTTCCCCTCTCTCGTTACATAAACTCTCATCATTATATCTCATTTTATCTCTTCCTCTCCCCCCCCCCTCTCTCTCTCTTTCGGTCTCTTTCTCTCTCTCTCTTCCCCTCTCTCGATACATAAACTCTCATCATTATATCTCATTCTATCTCTTCCTCTCCCTCTCCCTCTTTCGGTCTTTTTCTCTCTCTCGCTTCCCTTCTCTCGTTACATAAACTCTCATCATATATCTCATTCTATCTCTTCCTCTCCCATTTTCTCCCTCTCTCTGACAATTACTGTAATGTCTCTATTATACTCACTTTCGCCAGCATACTCTCCTCTCGAAAATAATATCGCTAGTGATATTCGTTTGTCTCGCAATGTGGTCAATAAGGAATCTAAAAGATCACGACGTTTCGTGCGCTCTGTTTCCTCATATCCTCTTTCTTGCCTTTCCACATTCTCTCATTTTCTTTCCCTTCTGTCTAATCCTACCCTTCTTTCCCCGTCCCTCTTTGCTCATCAAATTCTTTCTTAAAATCAAACTCAAAATCATCTCTCTCTCTCTCTCTCTCTCTCCGTCTCTCTCTCTCTCTCTCTCTGAAGGCACAATATTAATGTAATCACACTATATAGGGGTTTCAAACAAAATTCCTTAGTCCTGATTCTTTTCAGTCCTCGATTCTGCCAGTTCCAATACCTGAAGACCAATTACTTACATTCAGATCAGAAGAATCATGTAGTCTCTAACAAAAGCGCAAGAAAAGAAAAAAAGAAATCTCAATATTTTCTTTCATACAAAATTTATTCCACCTTACTTACTAAAACATCTTTGTGACACTTTAGCTTAGCATAATAAGCAATCATTCTATAATTTAACCATACACCCTTTTTGCTTTCAAAGACAATATAAATGTACATATGAAAAAATGATTTAACAGAACTTTCTCCAAGTATTAAATGATCTTCGTAAATTATATAAAAATTATTGTGAAAAACAAAGAGTGCACTGAAAATGTACAAATTACAGCCATCATTAAAAAACAAAGATCATTTTACAAATTGACCTCCTTATCGGTCAGTATAATAATAAACATATAAGGTTTGATAACTATTTTTTTTAATTTTGATAAATTAATGGCAATATCACTTTCATCCATAAAGATTGCTGAATTTCAAACACTTAGCAAGTACATAAGTGGAGAAGAAGAAAAAAAATCCTCTCAAAATGGTAGCTGAAATGAGGAGAGCAAAGAGTAGAAAGATGAGCTGGAAAAAGGGGGAGATAATTGAGAAAGGAAAAAGAGGGGGAAAAGGAGGATGAAAACATGGATGGAAAGGAATACGTGTAGAAATTATGGAGTAATATCTACACACAATTATCTTTCGTATGACCCCGTCTAAAAGGAGTATTCCTAAGCTTGTGTTCATTATCACCACATGATTTTACACCTACCGGTATCCATAATTCCTAAGGTAAATCTATAAAAGCTGCAAGTACTAGCAAAGGTCCTTTTCTGGCCAACCCACATAAAAGAAATTAAACATGCAGTTTGTTGCAAAATGTGGGGGAACAAACATAACCAGATGGCAATATACAATGGGTGATACATAAATAATCATTAAACAAAGTGTTCTCTAAATATTCTCTCTGAAACTAGCTTAATCAAAGCAATGGAAATATTTTTTTCCTAAAAAGAAGCAACTTCTCATGAAAAACAGTCTTTTAAAGTGGACACTTTGGTAGCTAAATAATTACATTAATTAGTTCTATCTGTTGAATATGACAATCAAGTACTTTTTAACATATAAATCATTCAACAGCATTCATCATTTTACATATTACAAGAAATGAAATACACACAAGAGCAAAGATACATTTTTATAGGCTACATTTAACATTGAGAACAAATGCTACATACTCAATCAAAATATCACATTTTCTTGTAAAACACAATTTACATATATAACGAGCACAATATACATTCAAAACGACTAAAAATGTCAGATAATAACAACAATGGTTTATAACCAATGCAAAACAACGGAATACACACACACACAATTGCTTTCTCTCACATATATTGCGTATACAAAGCCAAATTGTGAAGGAGTGCTACTGTTAAATATATTATACAATAATCTTTTGATTTTCTTTTCAAGTGTCTGAATCACGTTGCTCGTATATACTGTTTAATTTCCTTTCGGACGTAGAGAGAATTTTCATGCACGGATAAACATGGTTTATTCATGATCAGTCCGTCTCTGCTGCTATCAAAGATGTATATTTTCACACAATGAGTCTACATAATGTGGAGCAAATGTATGCATGTATTCCATAAGAAACTTCCTAAATATAACAATAATAATTATAGTGGGTTCTTGTATAGCGTTCATGTCTGTCAGACTTGACACTCCTGGCGCTCCACAATTATTACCCTGGCTTTAGCACGGCTGCCGTTATGGCGCTCTCGCATTTCAAGGAATTAAATCCTGCCAGGTACCCATTTACATCACCTGGGTAGAATGTGGCAAATGTATATAATAATGTCGTGCGAAAGGACATTAGCGACACGGCAGGACTGGAACCCGGAACCCTACGATCCACAGTCCAGTGTGGTTTCTGCTAGAGGCAGCACCTCTGTATTTTTCATCTTTCTCTACAGATTACCAGACAGCAGTTTTTATATAAGGCTTTCTACTTCTCCATCCATTTTCAGAAAAAAATCTAATCAATTGAAAAGATTTGTAATCCAAGTAAAACTTTGTTAATAAAGAATACATATGCAACGTAAAATAACTATCTAAATAAAAAATATAACAAAGCATAGTATTGTAAATGACTAATTTGTAAAAAGACAAAAATCAAAGAAGGTCATGATATTTTTTCCTGATCCAGAATGGAAAGATAACCTCAATAAAACTTCTACTTGTATTACTACGAACAAATGTTTGAGCAAAATGAAAATATATGTTCATTCTGAAGAGCAAATTGAAAAGAAACAGAATGAGAGCTTCATTAAATTCATTCGGGAAGCAAACAAAGAAAGCTATCCATAGTTACACTCATGGTAAATACAATGAGCAACGACTTTAATAAAACAAAGAGCACGTAAGGAACCTTATTTTTTTTAAAAATATTAATCAAATCTAACAAACCAGATCATTTCTACGCATATCTATAAATGTTTTTTACAATGGTTTTTACAAGGGTTCCAATGATAGCTCTATGGCAAAAAATGCTGCATGGCAGTTAATTGTTTAAAAAACCTGTAAAAAAATCATCATGGGGAAAACTATGACATACTCCCATAAACAAGTAAACAAACATATCAAAATCAGGCACTTCATTAGTTAAATTCAAATCATTGATTACTTCTCAAAATCAGAAGACACGACATCGTCTGTTTGGAGCAAAAGGGGCGTTAAACCCAAGCACGCTAATGCAATATTAGCGCCTTTTAGGCTCCACACAGATGAAGTATACAAGTTGAGGACTACTTTGGGAAAACATTACACAATTGTTACTTTGAAACCGTAAATGGAACTCTTTGCCATGTAACCAAATCGACATTCACTTCATGCATACAGTACATACCAGACCTAACATTCTGATGAAAAACATGATTATAGCTTTATTTTCCATAAAGATGAGAGCTTGCTGCATAAAAGGACATAGTGTTTGGATATGGGAAGGTGGAGAGTTGCAATGGGAGTTTAATGGAAAAAAGAAGAAGAGGAATGTTAATCTAAGAGGCTGCAGCACATGGATAAAGGAGTTGCTTCGTACTTAATACACTTACAAATATGACATTTCAGTTCAAACAAATTTCTGCTTAATGATACCCTGGGTAAGAGTGTGTTAGTTGAATTAGTGTTTAGACCTACAAACCTTCAAAATTTTGAATCAAGCCGCTGCCTTGTCCTATAATCTGCAATGTCTATTCATGATATCTATCTTAAAGATAAAGATCAGTTCTGGTCATGCGATTGCATTGTGAAAGAAACGTTGTGGAATCGATCAGAAAAGGTTGATCATCTAGCATATAAGTATTGGTGTGTACTGCAAGGTTCTGGCATCAAAATGATAAGAAATTTGGCCCTGTCTTGGTAAAGTTACAAGCACTATACACAGAAAGATGTATATGGGACTATGCAACACGTGCACGATATTTATCAGGTCCAAATAGATATAATAATTTACCAAATATATCAAGTAGTAGGCGGTTTCTTGGCAAAATTTGTATCATCATTTGTATAGTCAAAACATATTCTTTCACATGATTGGTAATAAGAGCTTCCATTTAATTTGTTGAGAGGGGGGCGTTTCCAAAACTGATCTTTACCTTTAAATAAAACATATCCTAATCATTACAGATAGACCATATAATAACCCTTATAATACATTTATTTCATTTTGATAACATAGCATGATTACTTTCAGGCTTGTTTTAGTTTCTTCAAAAACATATCATCTACAGATACACATGATGAATAAATATCACTCACAACACACATTCTCAGATAGATAGCATTTCAAGGCCATCAATCAACTATGTGATTCTTTTTATAATAAATCTCACAAATGAATCACAACTGTTCATTGATTTGATTCAAAGCATAATTGGCATATCTTGAGACAACCTGTGTGCTACAAAATTCAGACTTAATTACTTTTAAGTTTAAAACCATTACCATTTTCACACGTCTGAAGAAGATGAAGGCATTTGGAATTTATCAAGATAAAACTCGAGATAAATCAAGAGTTGTACGACTGAAACATAGTCAACCACTCTTCATCTTTATTTCCTGCCTATTTTAAACCAAGATAACCCAGTGCAACATCTTCAGAAATAAAATCCAATTCCATTCCGTTCCCAAAGCTCCATTTTACCATTATCAATTTGAGCGATGTCTGGGCTCATTTGCTTTTGAGCACGCAACAAAACTACATGTATTCTGCTTGTACTAATTTGTACATTTACCAATCACACATAGCTACATGTAGCTACTCAAAAGTCTGCTTACAGTCCATAACTTTGGTCTCATTTTTAAACATCTCGGTCCTTCAACTCTACCTCTCTATACGACCTTCATTTTTAGTAAAAATCATCATGGCTATTCACATTCAGTAGGTGCAGAAGCACAACTTTCTATCACCGTTTCAAAAGTACAAGCTATAACAAGATGTAGTGCTTTAACATTGTTGACATCACGTATACGCTGTACCATGTCTATAGCCGACAATTTGTTAGGTTCTTGGCAAAGAGAGAGTTGAAGAAACATCGCTCACTTACGGGCGTATTTCGGCAAAGATGCGTCATTGACCTTTGACCTCTAGCAATCATTCTCACGCCAGGAAGAAGAAATACTTTTATTATAGTACACAAACAAGGGACAAGATTCATATCAATAAGAACAGACTAGGAAGGTGTAGAGTTAGCTGATGAGCGGTCTGGTGCGTCATACATCCTCGGGCGGACCGTCTTTCTCCGTGACGGCGACCGGCTCGTATTCCTTCTGGTCTTCTCCAGGTTTCTTCCTCTCGAAGAAGCCACACTGTATCAAGTAACAAGAAGTAAGGATGAGGATGAGTGAGTGTGTAGTCAACGATTATAAATGTCTTCAGAAATATGATTTTAAATACATTGATCAGAGAACTAGATCAAGTTTGGTGTTGGTTTGGTTTTTTGATTTACCCGAATGCTAAGAAAGCATATGCATACTTGTAAGTAAGCAATCAGGGGACCGACAGCTTTCAGTCCTCTCCAAGGTACTGATTAACTATCCCCCAATCTAAATTAATACAAGAGGGGAGCGAGGGGGGGGGGGAGAAGGAGTATGCAGACATTACAGACGCAAAGAGGGAAATAGATAGGGAGTGGCAGAAAGATTAAGAGAGTTAGAGAGAGAAACAGAGACAGAGACAGACAGGGAAAGAGATAGAGAGAGAAGAGAGAGAGAGAGAGAAAGAGAGAGAAGAATAAAGAGATAGAGAAAGAGAGAGACAGAGACAGACAGAAAGAGATAGAGAGAGAAATAGAGACAGCCAGAAAGAGATAGAGAGAGAAATAGAGAGAAAAGGGATAGAGAAAGAAAAAGAGACAGACAAACAAAAAGAAAGAGATAGAAAGAGAAATATATATAAAGATAGATAGAGAGAGAGAGAGAGTCAAATGACATGAGAACCCCATGATGATGCAACTCTCACCTTCCATAATCCTAAGATGATGATGAGGAGTAAGATGATGCCTCCCAGCACAGACACTACGATGATCCACCAGGCGATGCTGACTGGAGGAAGCACTAACTCTTCAGCTGTGATCAGCGTTGATGCCTGCAGGAAACAGAATACAACCATTTGTGATACATTGACGATTACAAAAACATCATCATGGTATACATGTAGGTGCACGATATTGTCAATACTTATACACGAACCAAATCACAATACAGTTCTAGGACACCTACCCCCTAGACATCCACCCCCGGATGACCATCCCCAGTCAACTACCCCCTAGGACAACTACCCTCTAGGACAACTACCCCCTAGGACAACTACCCTCAAGGACAACTAACTCCTAGGACAACTACACCCTGGACAACTACCCTCTAGGACAACTACCCCCGGACAACTACCCCAGGACAACTACCCCCGGACAACTACCCTCTAGGACAAGTACCCCTGGACAACTATCGCCGTACAACTACCCTCGCACAACTATCCTAGGGGGTAGTTGTCCCAGGGGTAGTTGTCCAAGAGGGTGGTTGCCATAGGGGGTTGTTGTCCTAGGGGGTAGTTGTCCTAGGGGGTAGTTGTCCAAGAGGGTGGTTGCCATAGGGGGTAGTTGCCCTAGTGGGTAGTTGTCTGGGGGTGGTTATCCAGTGGGGTGGATGTCCAGGGGGTAGGTGTCCGGATACGCACCATTCAGGTGGTCCGATGGATACATTACCAGACTGTGGATCATGTGGTTTGCGGTTTGAGTCCCACTGCAGCACTAACGTCCTTTGAAGACATCAACCTACATTTGCCACTCTCTACCCAGGGTTAATGTTTAAACACAACACCATACCACCAAATATAAACATATCCTACATTGGATGTGTCACTAAACTCACTGGGGAGGGGATGATGTCAGGAATATCCCTCACCACTGATGACTGATTCAAGCATTTTGTAAAGTACTTGAGAATTTGAAATATATTTTCAGGGCTATTTTTTGCTCACGGCACCCTAAATCCCACGGTGATAGCAAAAACCTGCAACCTACGTTGTGTGTATCATTTAACTTGCAGGGAAGGGGTACGTTGTCAGGAATCTCCGTTGTCAGGAATACCCCTCACCTTGGAATACTTAGATTTTAAGCACTTTGTGAAGAACAAAATACATATTTGGAAACAGAGCTTTCAAGCATCCTAAAAACAGAAGGCAATACAATCAAACCTGCTTAGGCGATCACCTGTCTACAAAAACCACCTGTCTACAGAGACCACATTTTTTGTTTCCCTTGGAAATGGTTTCTCATTGAAACATGTACTAAAGGAACCTGTACATAGAGACCACCTGCCTATAAAGACTACTTTTCTTGTCTCCCTTGGGTGGTCTTTATAGACAGGTTTCACTGTACCAAAGATTTATAGCTCACCTTGGTTGAGTCAGTGAACTCCATGGGGAGGGGTATGTTGTAAGGAATCGACCTCACGGTAGCAGTTGCAGTAGATGCTAAGGTTACTTGTATGACAGGCACCGCCTCGCTAACAGCCTATAGCATCACAAGAACAAAGAGTTAAAGAAAGGATATAAAGTCAGACATAAGCAGAAGTGGACATTGATACCACATTTATCACAGACACTGAAGGGGGATCAAGTTTTAAGACCATAAATACATAAATATAGATAGACTGTAATTGGAAAGATCAAATATTTTGAGCATTTTCAGATTAGAAAATAATGTTTTAGTACCGGCAAGGAAGACTATTTTCATAGCCTTTTTTCATTGCAATCTGGGTAGCCTAGATATTGAATAGTTAGTTTAAGGATCTTCTTGCGACGTTTACAATATTGATGGTAGAAAGTTTAAAGCCCCACTGCACTACTTATAGCAACTTGCACCCTCTATATAGCAAACTAGCCTAATCGGTGACCATTGATCCCCCATGATCCTCTTTTTCTTATGTTAAGTGAGAGCTGATTTAATGAGACAACCACCTGTCAGTACCTTGCAGGGTGGTCTAATCCCTCATGTAAACTAGTACAGATGGGCTTTAAACAAAGGGGCAATTTTGACTACCTTCTGGAATGTCCTCTCCCAGAAGCGTCCCAGGATCCGCACCACTTTGCTCTTAGTGGCCTTGATCTCATCTATGGTGCAGTTGATGAGAACGCAGGATTCTGGGGTGCAGAAAATGGGTTCTGCCTGGGCCAGAGCTTCGGCATACTCCCCCTCGCGTTTTCGGCGACCGCTGACCTGCGTCGTCGAGTTGGAGAGCTGTTCTTTTGTGCTGGCTTCGAGCTGATTGTAAGAGAAGACGATGTTCCAATTATGTAATTAATAATAAGAATGATAAACATATTCCCATACTAGTAATGCATGATGCTGTCTTTGTTTTATCATTATCGAAAAAGGTATGTGGACATTACACATTCCCTAGCGCTGAGACAATACAGCTTCAAAAAGCAAAAACGTGTGTGATTTTACAAAACCTTTTACCGACTTAAATTTTGTTTTGGGTCCCATGCGGGAAAATTTTTGGGGGGCTATTCCTTCACCCAGGTACTGATCATTTTTTCTTCAAGTTTCATATAATTTTCAAAGAAAATAGTAGAGGATCTATGAGAGATCCCTGTGGAACACCCCTACTTACCTTGACTACCTCTGGGTTAGCTTTTCCTTGAGAGATCTGCTATTCCTTACCCAGGTACAAGGAATATGATTTTAAAAAATTCTTCAAGTTTCATATTATTTTTCACAGAGAATAGTAGAGGATCTATGAGAGATCCCTGTGGGACACCCTACTTACCTTGACTCCCAGTGGGTTAGCCTGTCCTTGAGAGATCTGGCACGTCACCCCTTCGTCTGTCATTATTCCCAAGAGATAGAAAAGATAGTCTCCGTTCTCATCCTTCTCGGGCCATCTGATGTTCAGTGTGACCTCGGCAGCATTGCTTGAGCCTGTGTTACGGACCTGCATCAAATAGATAGTAATAAGATTTGGGTGTTTCTAAAATAATAATACTAATAATAATAGCTCATATTTATAATGTGCCTAATACTTTGTTTCTAGGCGCAGCACATATTATTACCCCGGTCATCAGATTCAGGCTTACCCGCAACATAATGTATGCACATTTTCCACTCCCTGGCGAGCATTCCAGCCAGTCGACATTATACAAGTGCCACTTTTAACACATTTACTTTCGCATCCTACCGGGTACCCATTAAACACCTGGGTGGAGAGTGGCAAATGTAGATCACTGTCTTGCCAAAGGACATTAGTGCCGCAGACCTTGTGATCCATATTCCGGTGACATATCCACTCGACCACAACAAAACTAGATACAATTTCTTTCTGGAAGTACACATGTATTATAGATAGTATTACCCTAGTCAATGGATTCATGCCCACACTCAACATGCAATATCTACATCCCCTGCAAGGGACGTGGCATTTTCAGTCACAGTGAATTTCTGCATCCTCAACTTTCGGCATCCTACCACTTCTCAAATTCCTGGATATGAAGCGGCAAATGTACCGTAAATCTCTGTGTGTAAGACGCACTTTTTCCCGCTGAATATTTTTTTGAAAGTCCGGAGTATTCGGGGGTTTCGATTTATGCCCCTCCACCTGGCACTGTGCCTGGCAATGTCCTTCAGTTCAGTCATACCACTCGGAAACTTCTGTTTGGACTTATAGGAAAATTAGTCTGTCATCTTTAGTTTTAAAAACTAATTATCAGAATAATGAACATATGTTTTTAAAACCAAATGTTCATTATTGTGATAACTTCATTGTTACTTTCATTTGTGACAAGTTCATTATTGTGATAACTTCATTGTTACTATTATTTGTGACAAGTTCATTATTCTGATAACTTCATTGTTACTATTATTTGTGACAAGTTCATTATTCTGATAACTTCATTGTTACTATTATTTAGGACAAGTTCACAAGCAAAAATTGGCGCCTCCAACTGCACCTCGTAAAATGAAGGTCCTTCCCCTCGTGGGCTTTTGAACACGGACCTGGCTTGATGGCTACAGAGTCGGGGGAAGAGTCTTGGCCCCCAAAATAGGGATAAGTCTTATACACAAATGCGTCTCATACACAGAGATTTACGGTACATTAAATGTGTTGCCCAAGGACATTGGTGTCGTGCTAGGACTTGGTTTATGACATCATTTTTTTCCCATCACACTTACACTTAAAAAATGCTCACCAAAAATATATAAGTATCAACTCCACTGCTGTTCTAACTCCGATCCCCTTCATCAACACCATAGAAAATGTAAAAGGAACAAAAATATGGGGGATAAAGTAATTGTTTTACCTCATAAAGATGCACCACTTCCATGCCAATGTCAGCCTCTGATGCATTCTTGGTTGGGAATTCAGGTACGATGTTGTCTTCTGGCACACGGTAAGTCACAATTTCTGGATAAGACGCACTGTTGGTAGAAATAAAACAAAAGAGAGAAATGAGAATCAAATTTAGAGCCCCACTGTCCTACTTGTAGCTACTTGCTCCCTCTATATAGAAAACTTCCCAATTCGGTGCCTGTTGGTCCCCCATGATCCTCTTTTTCTTATGTTAGTTGAGAGCTGAGTTAATGAGATAGCCACCTGCCAGTGACCTCGCTGTGTGGTCTAATCCCCTCTGGCCCAGTGGTATTGATGGTCTTTAATTCACTGGTAATACAAAGTGAGTACAAGGAGGGATTCAGTCTTTTTTATTTATCAAATAAACCTAGAGGGAACATAGAGTCAAAGAAAAAGATAAGAATGGTAATGTATGACACTTAATTATATATTACAAATGGAGTCATTGATGCAACAATTCATTCCAAACTCCCTGCCTCCAATCCTTATGCATCTTTTAAGCTTAAACAATGGACATTGGTCCTAAATATTGAAACATTTCAGACCTGCTTCTGTGCAGTCTGTTCGATTTAAAAATTCATTCAGAAGACTTTACAAGAAATAATTCTCTCCCTTTATAATGCATAATTTATTTTAAGACCACATCTCTCATACAAAAAAACACCCCCCCCCCCTCCACATCCCCCTTTGCTTTGCATATGTTATTATTACTTCTGCGACTGATTTTTATTGATGCACCATTTTCCATTTGTACTATGGTTTCATCTTTAATATTTTCTTTACATTTTGAATGTCACTTTATGTAATTTTTATATTACTATCTGTTATGATGATGATGGAAATAAATGTCAATTCATTTCAATTAATTTCAATTCAACTTAATTCACTTTGCTCCAACACTTTAACTTTGAAAACTGGACATCATTTAAACATCACACCATAATCTATCTAATCTGTAGATACCTGATACGGCTATGGTTCAATTACGGGACCCCTTTGCTGCTAAGGCATTTTCAGATATGGCGTTAAACTGCAGTAACAGTGCTGCCAATTTTATTAGGTGTCAATGAATGGCAACTGAGTGCAACAAAGGACTTAGGCACATCCACTGAGCTCTCTGATATAAAATACAGGAATGTGAAGCATATTACACTTTAAGTCTTCATAAAAAGACTGCTGCGGTTTTGCCGCTTCATGTCTGAATGACACTTAATTTAAGCGCGTTCCACCACATGAAAGGAAATATGAATGAATGAATACATAACAATATTCTATTTAAAAAGCATTTAAAAAAAAAGAGAAATCAATCATTTAAGATACCAAAGAAGGATGTTATGTCAGAATTGAGGCAATCCTCTTTTTCACAAAGAGTGATATCAGAGTGGAATAATCTACTATTTTAAGTGGTAGAATGCCCATCACCTAAAAAAGCTCTAGAAATTCGGGCCACCCAGGGAAAAAAGAATTTGACCTCAAATAATTATACAGCGGTCCATATTCTTCAACAGCTGCACAGAAACTATCATACAGAACGTATTTCATCATCATGATTGCAGAGGGGTAAACAAGTTTTGTACAAATTCAAGCTCACTTCCAAGGCACGATTTCAAAGGTATGATGTAGTTTCATTACCTGAGCAACTTGAGGGTAGCATCTACAGTAACAGCGACTGTCACGTTCAGTTCATTGTTGTCTAGTGTGTTTGGATCCTCATTGTTCTCACTGTAAACAAAATATATGCATTATTCATTTAGATATTCATCAATAATTCAGATATAACATATATTAATCAATGATTGAGATATAATAATATACATTCATGAATAAGTAAGATTCATGTACAGTGCAGGGGTGCATTCATTAAAAAGACGAACATGTAAGTAACATATTCAAAATAAGATTATAAATAAAGTAGTAATAAAAGAATTAATTTGTTTAAAAAGTCAGGTACAATACGCTGTATATATATATGAATTAATATAATTAAGACATGATTCATTAATAAGGTAGAAGTTTTTTAAAATGTGAGTTTATCAATAAACAAGTAAGAAATAGAGTACATATAAAGTAGTCTAAGCATGAATTTCCATGCAAGGCAATGTTTTTACCTTGTTTGCAATATAATGGTTTGAAACATTCTTACTATTTAATATTTATCAGTTTCTCTGTAATAAGTTTTCTCATAAGAACTGTAATATTACCATTATATCACTAGAAAGTGCATAAATCTTGTTTTTACACTTACCTCCCGGCTACCAGATAGAACTCAATGTTATCTTTATCTCCACTGACTTGCAAGGTTGACAAAGTCAGGCCAAATTCAAGCTGGAAAAAAAAACAAATTGGTCAAACAAAGAATATCAGTATGATTCCAAATTCAAAGCGGGATACATACATGTAGACAGATATTGGTGATATTAGATTTTGAAGCACTCTTAACTTTTCAAGTTGCTCTAATTTATTTCTCTGACTTTTCTTCTTTCCATCAATACAGAATGCTGGTAGTGCTCCAACGCCTTTGTCAGAGCCTTTGAAGGCGTCACTGTCAACACCCTCTAACAGTAAATTCTCCCAACCATTTTTGAATTTTCCCAACTGTTTTTTCCATGAAAATAAGACATACACAATAATTAAATGTCCGAAATGGTTTATAAAGCCAATTCATTGCCTTGTGACAATTTACATGCATCTAAAATGTAATTAAATTGTAAAAATATAGTTGGGAGAATTAAGGAATCGATAAGATCAGTTTTCCCAATTTTTATCAATAATAATGATCTGTTTTCACTCAAACTTTGAGATTATCTTTGATTGTACATCTACAGTAGCATTGAAGTCACTACCTTAGAACCATTTTCTCTCATCTGAACAATGTTACCAAGTCCCTTTAAGAAATACAGTATGCATCATAAGATAAATTTGTATTGTGAAGGTGAAATCACCAAATACTTACATTGTATTTGCCGACCAATGGGTTTCCTGTGTCGCAGGTGATCATGCGAAGAGCAGAGTCCTCAGTGCATGTAACAGAAAAGTCCTGACAAAGATCAGAAAACGAGATACCATGAGGTAAGTAAAACTGGTGATGCATTCATTTTACTTTTACTTTTTACTTTAACCGAGTCCTTCCAGTGCCTCGGGATACGATGGACCTGGGGAGTGTTTCACAAAGACTAAGATCAACTTTACCATACTCATTTTACCCAAAGGACTGTTATGTTATAAAAACCATTGGGAAAACGGTTTTTAAAATTTCTAATTCCAATCATAAATATCTTGATTATCAGATAGGCGATCGGCTTGTAAAAGTCATGGGAATCCTGACTGACCTAAAGGTCTATAATTATGTTTGCAGGATGAGCTAAATCCATATTTTTTTTTTTATCTGAGGCAAAGATACCCATTCCCTTTCAAAAAGAATACCGGTAAAACAAAAAAATGGTAAACTCTTTACACATGCTCTTGGTACGGTTCTGGTACAGAGAGGACCATCATTTGCATCCTATCTGAGGGACATATAAAGAAGGTATCTAATTACCATGTTAGCTCTCCTCTCCAGCCTGACATACTGAAGCCCTTCCGGGTAGTAGACGGCGAGCGTAGATTGGAACGCATCTTCCCCTCGGTTGTTTATGGATACTACTAGAGTCAACTCTTGGGCCTGGCCGATCACAATGTTCGGGAGATTACTGATTGGTCGAAGGAAAAAGTGCAGAGAATTTAAGAACGTGCAAAATTTCGATAAAATATTCATTTTAGTGATGAAGAATTCTACAAGTAGGCTTTGTACGTCAACAATATTTATACACTGATGAAATTCTCAGTAGTGTTTATATATATATATATATGATGAATTCAAACTTTGTTTTGCACGTAAAAGACTTTTTAAATCTATACATAATATGAAACAAATATTTTCAGTTAATAATAATGATGATAATTATAAAAATAATAATAATAATAATAATATTATGTCTTGTTAACCCAGGGTCGTCTCATCAGTATTAAAACTGGGGAGTGTTTCACAAGGACTAAGATCGACTTTAAGTTGGACTTAACTATGGCAGGCTGTTCATGCCACTGTTTGCTCTCACCTTTTACTGACATTGGTCTCTCAAGGGACCTACAAATTATCGTCACAAACCTACAGAATTTTTTTTTTTTATAGTTCATTATTGAAGGAAAAAATAGCATTTAAATATCATAATGGTGAGAGCAACCAGTGGCATGAATGGCCTGCCAGAGTTAAGTCCAACTTAAAGATGAAGTTGAGTTCTGGTCATGCGATTGCATGGTGAAAGAAACGGTGTGGAACTGACCAGAAAAGGTTGATCATCTAGCATATAAGAATTTGTGTGTATTGGAAGGTTCTGGAATCATCAAAATAATAATAAATTTGGCCAAGTGTTGGTAAAGTTACAAACACTTGCACAGAAAGATGTATATGGGACTACACAAACACGTGGCGTAAAAAAACCGGCCCCCCGATTTTTACGATGTTACATGCATATTTAGAATATGAAGGCATTTGAAGAGCCATGCTTTTCAGGGAACATGTCTTAACTGATGTTCTTCCACACTTGCATAATAAGAATGAGTAATGCTCACAAATTATTTTTCACCTCTTCCCAGAACTCAACCTTCTCTTTAAAGTCGATCTTAGTCTTTGTGAAACACTCCCCTGGTCTCCCCGAGGGCCCTGCAAGCTACATGTACATTCACTAAACAGTAAATAGTTTTCAACACTTGTAAAGCTTGCATATTTCAAAAATCCTTCCATGTGATTAGATGGATTCATTTTTAAATCATGGACTATAAAATTAGTTCATGTTTTCGGAAATTGGATGAATATACTTATTTGTGTTTTTTTCTCCTAAAAATGATAATTTTTCTGTACTCACGGTGTGACTGTGATGCCAATTTCTGGGATACAGATGTTATTGACACAGTTGTTCTGAATGGACACCTGGGCATAGAAGTAAGGAAATGGAGACAATTTAAAGATAAAATAATTATTAAAAGAACATAATTCAGTTACTAGTAGTAATTTACATGCATTTCTTAAACACAAATCAAGATTACTTCAAGACAAATCATTAACAAAGCATTAATGGGCTGCTCATTTTACGTGCACTTTGCAGAAAATCTGTTCTTTGACATGCACTTGGTATGGCTCTGGTGCATAGAGGACCATAATTTACATCCTACCTGAGGGACATGTGAAGAAGGTTTCCTACTAGGCTGATCAACATCCTGTACATATATGAATAATTTTCATGATTTATTCACATGAAAACAAACATAAACAAAATGTTAAACTACTTATAATACATGTACACTTCACACTGAATAAGGTCTGTTCTTGGCATTGCAAATGGAGGCAGGCAATCCTCGTACAGGGGACATTACTATCATAAGATGATGAAGCGGATCCCAATCAAATGATTGGTTGAGAGCGTACAACTGACCAGGCATTTATTTTGCCTGACTCGTAACTTTACTAATGACCATTTAGCAAATACTAATGACCGGTCATTAGTAAAATCATGTTATAAAACATCAGTTTATAAAAGAAATAAAACGTCATTTTATAAAAGAAATAAAACATCATATTATAAAATAATAATACACAACATTTTGTTTGGGCATTAGTAAACTTACCTACACAAAGTACCTTTTGTGGGTAATTCTTACTAATGCCCTCACTGCTGTGTATTAGTTGTATACTATCCTATCTAAGAGACCGACCTGCTTAGTTTGTGAAGACACAGCCTCCTTGTTGATGATGGGTAGGATCTCATAGGGCAGGAGGATGGACTCATCCGGGTTCAGCTCGTACTGAAGATCGACAGCGATGGGAGTAAGCTTGTCTTGGATGGTGTTCTGTGATCAGGGAAGAAAATGATTAGAAGGGATGAGGGGGTTACTTCTTTTTCTCCTTCTTCAAATTATTATATTCATTATTAATATTATTATTATTATTATTATCATTGTTATTATCATTATAATGATGATGATAATTGTTATTATGTTATTATGAATATCATTATCATTATCATCATTATTATCATTATTATTATCATTGATATTATCATTATTATTATTATCATTATCATCATTATCATAAATATAACTATTATTATCATTATCATTATCATTACCACCATTATTATTATTATTATTATCATTGTTATAATTATAATTATTATTATTATTAAACACAGAATCAAGTTAACGGTGAAAACAAAACAACAAGAAGGTTTGAAGAGAGTCAGATGTACGTCAGGAAAAGAAAAAAGATTAGCTCAGTTGGTAGAGCAGTGGTCTCGGCGACCCGGGTTCAAAACCTAAGCGATGCGCTAGTGCCCTTTGGTAAGGCATTAATCCTCATTACCAGGTCCCCCGAAGAGGACCTAAAGCCGCCGGTCGTCTGGTTGCTTTCTTAGCTTCTTAGCTTCTTAATTTTTAAGTTTGACTTAGGATCTTTGTGAAACACCCCCCAGGACAGGTAATCATCTGGAGACTTGCTTACCACGACGTATGCTCGGAGAGGGTCGCAGAACTGCATCCCAACGTCGAGGTTTCGATTCTTTGTGACTTGGCTCATTTCGTTGACTTCCAACAGCGCCCTTCTACCGCTGGTGATACTAGAATCCACCGTCAAGGTGTAGCTGATGCCTGGTGGGTAAAAGTAGATGTCAGAATAGAATAAGTTGATGAAGCATTACATGTTGTTGTTGCTTTTTGTTGTAATGGCAATCAGTCAAGAACTGACTTTCATCACCGATGCCTTTCTTTTTAATATCAATTTCCTTTTTTCTCTGTTTCTCTTTTTAAAATATATGTGGATAACAGTATAACAAATTTATAGGCTTCTCCCTCTTTTTTTCTCCCTTTTCCAATCCTATCGTTTTAAATTTGATAACCGAAACAAAGGATTAAAATGGAAATAAATACAATAACAAAAAAAACACCAGAATGTAGATTTTTGTAGCCTGCAGGTTACAAGTGGACTAATTAAAATATATACATTTTGCCAGAGAGATGTCTTTTGTACTCTTTCAAGGAGAACATGTCATAACAAATTATTTTGTCAAAAATGAACTCAGAGACGTCCGCACTCTTTACAGAGGACTGAGTGTTGCATGTCACCAATAAATGTGTCAAAACTTGACTAGAATGGAAGAAATACAGAATTCAACACTGAGTGGAACTGCTCTATCATAGCAGGGCAAATCAGCATAAGTTCTCATTCCCCATAACCAGTGTCAAAAAGAATTAAGACATATTTTCAAGAGTTGGTCCGATGGAAATTATTCCAAGCCCAATATTAAGATGAAACAGAGGGTGAGACATGAAATTACACTCCAGAATGTCTAATCACAATGCCAATTAGTGAAGATAGTGGCACTGTTCAGACCGCTACACATTATCTAATCCGTTTACAATCAAAGTTTTGCAGAACTTGTAAGATCATGCGCATGAAGGATTAAGAGTTTGAATCCTTTATAGCTAATCACAATCACCACTGTGCTCTCTGTCTTGCCATGGTAGGGTACATTGGGCATACTTTCAAAATTTGACACGTTTCATCTCCCTATATACTGATGTTCAACAAGGAAATAAAAGGGTATCTGTATCTGTCCGTGACGTACAATCACCAGCATCTGGTCGTCGCGTACGTTGGGTTTGGGTCAAAACGCTAAACACGCCTAAATATTGAAGTGTGATTCGGCTACAAGGTTTATAATGTCTAGTGAGTCCAATTTGAGTTTAAAAGTTTTCATATCAGGTGAGTTTCTGGTTTCCTCATCTAGATGATTCCATTCGGGGACGGTCTTGGGGTACAGGGAATGCCGGTAGCAGTCTTTGTTGGAACTAATGACATGGTATTTATAGGTTCCCCTTTGTCTTGTTTTATACCTGCATCTACTTGAGTTAGGGAGCTGGAGAATGGAGATAGGTCGATATGTTGCTGGGTGTTAATCCATGCGTTTTCTTATACAATGCAGTTAGTCTGGCTTTGGTTCTGCGGACTTTCAAAGTTTCCCATTTGACGTTGATAATTGGGTAGAAATCCTTGAATTGAAAATAAAACTTACCAATGCGGGCAGGAAGATGATTACCGGTGTAAGTGAAGCACGCCATAGCAACGAAACTAGGAGGAAAATAATAATGTGAACATCAACCTTAGTATGAGAGATCAAGTGCATATTTGTGCTTTATTTCCACATGAATTCAGCACGGATGAATTAACTCAATGCAAAGACCCAGTCTTTCTAGTTTCATGACAATGACTGAGAATTAAGGCAACATTATAAACATCATCTTGATCACCCTTAATACCATTATCATTAACACCGTAATACCATCATCATTAACACCATTAATACCATTATCATTAACGCCATTAATACCATTATCATTAAAACCAGTAATACCATTATCATTAAAACCAGTAATACCATTATCCTTTACACCATTTATACCATTATCATTAACACCAGTAATACCATTGTCATTAACACCAGTAATATCATTATCATTAACACCAGAATAACCATTATATTAACACCAGTAGTAAACCAGTAATAACATTATCATTAACACCAGTAATACTATTATCATTAACACTATTTAACGTTTTAAACCATTACTTTGCATGCTTCACATGTAAATCATGTAGACTCAAGTGACCATCTCCACTGATTAATAAGTCATGGGGGAATCGGGTGCATTCGAATCATGTTGAAACTCAAACCAGAAAACGATGGAGGGGGAGGGCTGATAGAAACCTACCTGGTTACCATGGTACCGTCAGGAAGCTCGTAGGTTTTGTTGTCAAGGTTGATTCCGATGGGCTCAATGGTGAGTTCCGCTTCCAGCAAAACCACTGGTCGAGTCCTAAAACAGCGAGAAGAGCAAGATTTGTGTTATCACTTTGAAGAACGAGCCAAGAACAGCACCGAAAGGGGTACTGCGGATAGGTGTTTATGATTTGATTTGACTTGACTCTGCTGCAATTATCCATACCTATACATTGACATGTACATGCGTGATATCATTCATCTATTTCATTATGAACATGTACCTATCCAAAACATTTGAAATCAAAAGTTCATCCGTGCAGAACTTTTTTGGCATATAAGTAACCAGTTTATCTTGATTCAATGCAGTTATCTTCATGTTCTATAGGTACATACAGGCGAAACCTGAATCAAGTCAACTTACCTTACAAGAATGGCAGCGTCCGCACTCTCTGCCCCAACCACAAGATCTACATCAAACAAAATTGAAAGAAAAATTCATATAATTTTTGTAAACATTAAGGAATGTGATTAACAAGATGAATAAACAAACAATCACTGCATGTACTCCCACTCATAATGATTAATTATCAAGATTATAAGGGTATATCAAATTTTACGGCAGGAATTGGAGGCCCCACGATTACTGTACAAATGGAGATAGGTGTATGACAAAGTAAGTAGATTTTGAAAAGAAAAAATAGAAAAGATGGCTGCACATAAATTGATTCAAATTGTCTTTCAACTTCTGATTTATCAACTAAGAGATTATTTTTGTATGAATACACAATGGTTTACTTACAAAGTAACTATACATCACTTAGCCTAATACCTAAAGCTTGATCAGTTCTCATCCAAGTTTACAATGCAAGCATCTGCATTATTCTATCAATAAGGATCACAATCCCTTGTGGATGTTATAAATGCATCCCAATCCTTAGTAGATGTTTTCTTACCGGGATAATCGTTTTGGTCCATGTCTTGTCCGCCATCGACCGAGAAACCAAACGTTGTGATGTCACTGAAGCCAAGTTCGGATGGGGTCAACACCTGGAGATGAGCAGATAAAAGATAGAATGGGACAGAGACATGGTCATCAGAATGTCAACATGATGATGATGTTCATGATGATGATGATGATGATGATGATGATGCTGATGCTGATGATGGTGATGATGGTGATGATGTTGATGATGCTGATGATGATGAAGATGATGATGATGATGATAATGAAGACGAAGATGTTGATGATGATGATGGAGATGATGGTGATGATGATGAGGATCACAATGATGGTGATGACAATGACAACGATAATGATGTTGATGATGATGATGTTGATGACGACGACGATGTTGATGAAGATGAAGATTATGATGATTATGTTGATGATAATTTTGCTGATGATGACAATACTTAAGACAATGACGGTGATGATGAAAATGATGATGGTGATGATGATAATGATGTTGATGATGACGATGTTGATGATGATGATTATGATAATAAATAATGTTGACAATGATGGTGATGATGATGATAAATAGATGGATGAATACAGGTAATCAGAACGTCAATAAATAATGAAAATATTAGTAATAATCATTACAATGATTATGATAACAATGATAACAATAACAATCACCCACTCTTAGACTTGGGAAAGTTTTATTTCAACCTCGACTTTCAACTATAAGGTGATAAACCACTTCCAAAACAATCATTGCTAATTTGAATAATTCAACATAGGGCCTTTCACATTTCTGTATCCTATAATAAAGAGTGGTTGGGTAACTTTGTTAACCCTACAAAATTGCCTCTAGTCATTCATTATAACATCTGGATGCAGCAAGGATTTTTTTAGGAGAAATGCTTCAAATAATAAATGAAAGACTATTTTGTTTAAATGATGAAAGAATCTATTTGCATTCCAAAAGCTATATACTCAAAGTTGATACTTCGTAAACTCTGTTTCACTTTCACAATAATGAAACCACAGCATATGTGGTGTATTTGAAATTCAAGTCATTTTTAAATCATCACATCCCCAGTGAGAGTGGATTGGCTTACTCACAACAAGACTAGGGGAGTTAAAGATTTGGTCTTATCGATTCCCACAAGACCCGCTGATGGAAATTCCCCCTTTCCCCCGAGGTTCCCTCTATTTTCTTCACCCTACATGCCAGTGCCCTGCGCAACACTCCCAAAATAATTAATAACTTACACTGGAAGTCTAGCTCTGTTTCCTGTGACTGGTCTCAGCAGGAAAATAGAGAAAATGTTGTAATTTCTTCCCCTAAATCTTGATAGCCAGTTGTGATAAAGACTTCAGACTGTTCCAATTTGGGCATTTTTATGGCATTTCTCGACAGTTTCGAAAAAGAGCAGCTTGTAAACAGGAATAGCAAGTTCAGGCATAGACTTCAGATTGTTCCAATTTACATATTTTTATGGCATTTCTCGTCGGTTTAAAAAAAGAACAGCTTGTTTACAGGAATAGCCATTTCGGATAAAGACTTCAGACTGTTTCAATTCAGGAATTTTATGGGATTTCTCGACACATTTCAGAAAAGGGACAGCTTGTTCACAGGAATAGTCAGTTCAGATAATATACTTTAGACAGTTGTATGGCATTTTTGTCCATGACAATCGGAGAACAACTTGTGACCAGAATATAGCCTCCTCAGATGAAGGTTTGAAAAACTCTCAGAAGTAGCAATTTTATCCATTTCTCACAACTTTTAAGACAATTTTTTTAATTTAAAACTCTATAAATGCATCCATTAGTCTACAACCACAACAACAACAGCCTGAATGCATTATAAACACACTAACTAGATTGTAACTATACTTTGATTGATACAAAGCGATTTCCAAGAAAAATTATTTTAAGGACATTTCTAGATATACAGTTTGAACACACTGTAATCAAATTTCAAGTTTGCAACCACACTTTTGTTGAGAAACCGAAGCTTTTCAGGAAAAAAATTATCTTGGGTAAATCAAACTTCTGGTAAGTTTTTCTACTTTCTGTGGCTTGGCTTGGCAAGCGACTGATGTGGCATTCTTTTTGCCAACACGTCACGTAGGGGTGTTTAGGATAAATATGGCGGGCTTGCGAGATGTGTGTCAGTGATACGAACGGGAAATTCTACTTGTGGGTGGTCTAGGGCCCTGTTTCATAAAACTTGTCATCAATAACAAGTTCCAATATCTGTTATAAGCTGTGATAGAACTTTACCATTTGTTATTGATAACAAGTTTTGTGAAACAGGGTCTAGGTTCTGTAGCTTTGTTCAGTATGGCTCTTTGTCTTCTCAGATGGATTCAGTATGGATGTAAAGTTAATTGAAACTCAGATGTTTTATTTATTAGTGTAATTGAGTAAGTTTTAATTTTGAAGCAATTGCATCAAAAAGGGAAATTAATTGATGAAAATCAAAGATCTTATGTATAACAGAGAGGAGAGGCATGGGCAAGGAATTTTACCTGTAGCAATTTACTTGTGAGAAGGCCAGGTTAGAAGGCCAGGGGAGTGTTTCACAAAGATCCTAAGTAGAACTTAACACTAAGTTGGACTTAAAAAGTATGGACAGCCATTGGAGCCTTAAAATGAAATATATTCAAAAGCAAAAATTCAAGTATTTTAGACTTTTTTATAAATTCCACGTCCAGAACATGAAATCTCCTTGATGATAAAAAATATGAATGATTTGAATCAACATTTTATGCCTTTCAAAATTACTTTTACAAAATATTTTCAAAGATGCTAACGGCTTTCCATAATTTTTAAGTCCAACTTAGAGATAAGTTCAACTTAGAATCTTTGTGACACACCCTCCAGGTCAAGTAGTTTGTATGCTTTCACAAAGATCTCTATACCTAATTCTAACCTAAAACACAATTGCATCCACAACCCTAACACTATCTAAATCGTAACCTAACATCCTAATGCACCCCTATTCCAAACCCTAAACCTTTCCTAAAGATTTGCTTCTGATTTGCATAACGATGAACGTTTAGTTTTCAAAGCTTTATACTTGTATGAATGCTGATTCCATTCTTTAACTTTTTTTCAATTTTCTTTTTTGTTTTAAGCGATGATCATATTGTATAGGACCATTTTACATTGTAAACATTGTGCAATTAGTCCCTGGACTACTTAATTGTATCTTTAATAAACCACATCAACCCTATATACATGTATGTAGCTTTAAAGCTTATCTGCGGTAGTTTATAGGAGGGCTTAGACTGCCCTGCAAGGTCACTGGACAGGTGGTTATCTCATCAATTCAGCTCTCAGTTAACATAAGAAAAAGAGGATCATGGGGACCAATGGTCACCGATTAGTCATTGTTATATAGAGGGCGCAAGTAGCTACAAGTAGTGCAGTGGGCCTTTAACGAAATAAAGCCAAGGGCAAAGGTCATATCATCTTTTACGACCTTCTTGCACTGAGCCATGCACTTACCTGAGACTCTGTCAGTCTAAGTCCTTCTGCGCTGCCATGATAGATGTAAACAACCCCTGAGTTGTCCTCACCATCATAGGGAGCTCCAATGGCAACATCTGAATTTGAGACAAAGGATTGAAGAATTATTTTTTTGAAGCTCTTTAAATATAGAGTTGAGTTCTGGGGCCCGTTGCATAAAACTTACCATTGATGGTAACTTTGCCATCAGTGGTAACTACCATGGAAACCTTGATTATGATTGGCTGTTGTTACCATGGTAGTTGCCATTGAAGTTACCACCAATGGTATGTTTTATGCAACATGCCCCAGGTCATGCAATTGCGTTGATCATCTAGCATATAATTATTGGTGTGTGCTGCAAGGTTCTGGAATCATCAAAATGATAAGAAATTTGGCCCAGTCTACGTAAAGTTACAAGCTTTGTACACAGAAAGATGTATATGGGGCTACACGAACATGTGGCATAAAAATCTGTCCCGATTTTTATGTTGGTACATGCCATATTTAGAATATGAAGGCATTTAAAGAGCCATGCTTTTCAGGGAACATTTTCTCTCTGATGTTCTTCCACACTCGCATAATAACAATGATAACGCTCACAAATTATTTGTCACCTCTTCCCAGAACTCAACCTTCTCTTTAAGTCCTGAATGGTGTACGTATCAGTGGTTGGCTCACTGCTTGTCTATAAAATGTCTCAGGGCCCTGTTTCATAAATCTTGTTATCAATAACAAGTAGTAATAACTGTTATAAGCTACTGAAATCGTTGCATTTGATTGGCTGAGAGCAAATTTGTAATAGAAATGTGACATTTGTTATCGAAAAAAAGTTTGATGAAACAGGGCCCCAGGATTCGATTGTGACTTGTGTGTTTAGCAAGGTGAGATTGAATGTCACTCCTGTAGAGGTTAGAATTATAGAGTATCACCTAAAGTACATGTTTGTCCTTGAGAAAAGCATTATATCTGCACTGCTTCTATCCATCTCAGGGGAAAAAATACTTTAAACATTTTGGGGGCTACTTTTCAAGCTAGCTTGCATGAAAATAACACTCTTTAATTTGTTTTGCATTGAACTCTATGCAATTTTGGGGTACCAGGCCAAGTAGGTTGCTTTATAAGTCATTGTGGTTTGTTCTGCATTGTGGGTATCTCTACATCAAAGGTGTGTGTGGCTGGAATATGCTCCTCAGGGAGTGGAGAATGTGCATAAATTGTACGTGTGGAATCATATGACAGGGGTGATATTATGTCTGTAAAGCGCTTACAGATATCGTAGATGTAAAAGACGCTATACAAACTAAGAACATTATCATCAACATCATCATCATCATCATCGTCATCGTCGTCATCATCACCATCATCATCATTATCATCATCTTCATCATCATTATCATCACCATTATCATCAACATCATCATCATCATCATCATCATCATCATCATCGTCGTCATCATCATCATCACCATTATCATCAACATCATCATCATCATCATCATCATCATCATCGTCGTCATCATCATCATCATCATCATCATCACCACCATCACCACCATCATCACCACCACCATCACCATCATCATCATTATCATCATCTTCATCATCATTATCATCACCATTATCATCATCATCATCATCTTCATCACCATCACCATCACCATCATCACCACCACCATCATCACCACCATCACCACCACCACCATCATCATCATCATCATCATCATCAGTATCTTCATCATCATCATCAGCAGCATCACCCACCATCACCATCACCATCACCACCACCACCACCACCGCCACCAACACTATCATCATCATCATCATCATCATCATCATCATCATTATCATTGTTCACTGGCTTACCATTGAATCCATCTTGGTTTGAGTCACCGATGGATGTGATTGAGAAGCCAAAGCGAGCCCTGATCTTCTTTCCTGTCAGCATTTGAGGAGCTCCTAAGGAATGCTACAAATTCAAAAACAAAGGGCACACAACATACAATTATCTACAGATGCATAAATCGACTAGAGAAAAAACAAGAGGACAGCGGTCCTAATGCTCACCTGAGCTGATAAAAGAAGGGGTCTCGCAATAAGGGACTAGTTTGCTCCCATCGCTTTTGCACCAGGAACATAGGATTTATTGGAACACTAGGGCAACATAGGGGTGCTGTTCCCAAGTCCCCTTTAGGGGCAGGTATCCCATTCAAATAAATTTAGGGTCTTCTTCACATAAAAACGATTCCTACATAGTTTAGCCAGAGTCCATACCAACATTTTGGTATGAAATCATATTTACACTACATGGTCTATCAGAATATTAAATAAAAAATGATGGTACTGGTTTAACCAGGTATTTTGAAGAGATATCCTTGATTCAAATGGAACAATTTTTCTCAACTTTTGACAAAGCGTGCACACATTTTTTAGTATGCCATTCTGGCATTAGTGTTTAAATGGTGGATGTTGAAAGGTACCCCCAAGCTGAAATTCCCTGTCTTCATTATGTCTATTTTTATACAGGCATTGGACTAACTTATGTCCTAGTACCAAAGCATCAATGAGCAATTTGTTAATGTCTATGGAAAGAATAAGGTTTGGTCTTTTAATATTTTGAATGAAAATATAGCATATATATATATATATATATATATATATATATATTTCTAAAATCAGTGGCAGATTTGGGGTAGGGTCACAATCAACCCATGCCTTCTTTTAAAAACTAGTCGTGCATACTTTTAGAACACCGCAGAAAAATGTGCCCACCTTATTGTAGTTTTGTGATGCCTCTCCCTCTTTAAATTTCAGACAGAAAACTATCACATCTGGGGCCTTTCTTATAAAGAGTTGCGATTGATCCAAATCGATCCCAAGTCCTCTTTAAATTTTAATATCGATCACACGTTAGCAGTCCCATATCTCTCAAGCACATAGTTGCGATTAAAGTTGCAATTAATATCAAGTCTTTATAAGACGGGAGCCCTGGACTAAATACTTCTTTCTTTAAAGACCGTCAATACTACTCGGCCAGAAGGAATTAGACCACCCAGCCAGGTCACTGACAGGTGGCTATCTCATCAACTCAGCTCTCAACTAACATAAGAAAAAGAGGATCATGGGGGACCAACAGGCACCGATTAGGGAAGTTTTCTATATAGAGGGAGCAAGTAGCTACAAGTAGGACAGTGGGGCTTTAAACAAATCTGTAAATGGACTATAGCAGTATACTTACATCTGCGTTCTGTAGATACACGTACACCCGTCCTGCTTCCCACTTCTCTGTAGCCGGCTCACGGTTTGTAAACATGGGTGCTCCTACCAGCAGGTCGTCAAGGCTACAAGGTCAAGGGTTAGGGGTCAAGGGTCGAGTGATGATGAAGGGGGAAGGAGGTAGATAAAGGAAATGATCCATTAGTGATTGGAAAATGATTGGGGAAATAATCAATATTTAAATGGGAATGAATGTGTGCATGAAAACTACTCAGGAATTTAGAGACTTAATTTTAAAGTTTCTCAAGTTCATTTCCATTGCAGTACATTGTACCTTTCGAGAATAGGAATGATTCAATTTAAAGTATTTGTTAAAATATTTGAGTCAGCCTTGTAAAGTTAAAGTTGTTAAATTTATTATCAATACTTTTATTCACAAAGATTGGTAAGAGCGAAAGATAGATGACTTGTTGACAATTTGAGGAGACAAAGCTAATTAATTTCGATCTTTGAATTACAAACTGAGGTGGGCTAATAACTTGTAGAAATTAACGGTGTATAAACCGCCCTCGTGTATTAACCGCACCCCTTTTTGTTTTGCCGACTCTGTCGGCAGCAAGCCAGGTCCGTGTTAAAAAACCCATGCGGGAAGGCCTTTCATTTGACTGCGAGGTGCAGCTAAATGTGTAAGATCATTAATGTAAATTAAAAAACAGTAGAGGACCTAGGATAGAACCTTGTGGTATGCCGTGTATAAGAAGAAAATTTGGAGGAATTATTATAAACTACATATAGAAATCTATCAGAAAGATTACTTTCAAACCAAGATGACAGACAAATTTGAGTGTTGTTCTAGTTTCGGAGTGGTGAGTCAACACACCGATTACTGAGCTGGGAGACATTGCCAGGCATAGCGCCAGGTGAAGGGGCATAAATTGAAACTTAAATTTTTTTTTTTTTAAAGTGTGGTTAATACAACGTTAATTACGGTATACTCACCCATCGCCATTGACATCAACAGAAGCAACACTGTATCCAAAATAGGAGACTATCTGCTCCCCAACAACAGGGGTAATGATCTCAACCAAACTCTGGTCAAAGATGGCCACCTGAATGGATACAAAGAAAGGGATGAAATAAGAAATATTTAGCATAATGCAAAGTTTGTGAGTGCTCCAGATATGTAGAAAATATAATGTGATGAAATACTTGCTGCAAAACTGGTGGTCATCGATGATTCCTAAAAGTTTCTGTGTTGGAAAATCGAGGACTGGAAACCATAAAAGTTTCCAATTTTGAAACCGGTGCTTACTGGTGCATGTGATGAAAATATTTGTGTCCATAGTCCTGTAATTTTATTCAATGAAGTTAAGTTTAAATTTCTTAAAAGTTGCTTTTGACAATCCAATGGTTCTTGCCCAACATAGCAACAACTATTGTATGCAACCATGGGTTGTGCTAAAATATGCACCCATATGAATACATATTTAACTTGCCAGTTGGTTAACTCAAAATGATGTTAAAATAATGAAAAACACAACTTCACATCGTGTAAAAAAAAATATTTAAAAAATTATTGTAAAGAACATTTAATAATTTGTAATCACATATCGATGAAAAATGTGAAATAAGAATATTTTTCCAACATCACATCCGTCATCTTCATAGTATTATTATATTCCCGCTTATGATGAAGAAGAATTTCTTAGAATTCTTCTCAATTATCGCTGCAGACCACTCCTCTTAGTACACCTGTTAGCCCTATAAAAACTCTACCTTACTACCGGTAAGCCTCAATAGCTAAGTGTATGTTCATTCGTTCGCACATTACTACTGTCCTCAAAGATATAAACAAGGATCCACTAACCACTGGGAGGGTTCACACAGGACCGAAAGATCAAGTATTTAAAGTTAACTACAAGCCCGAGAAATTTTCCACTTTAACTCGCGTCAGAGTGAGGACCCCCAGTGCTCGAAGTTATCGCGCTGACCCTAAGATCTGTCATGGTTTACAAGTAACTCTGAGTTACTGTAGAGTGCGTCCACACGGTCCCTAATTACAACACAACTTCAGCGTTTAGAACCCTAACCAAAACTCTAACTTTATACACTGTCGTGTGAACCTCACTAATGTTACACATGAAAATCATGCAAGAAGATTAACCACGAGTATGTTCACACAGTCCCTAATTACAACACGACTTCAGCGTTTAGAACCCTAACCAAAACTCCAACATTATACACTGTCGTGTGAACCTCACTAATGTTACACATGAAAATCATGCCAGAAGATTAACCATGAGTGTGTCCACACGGTCCCTAATTACAACACAACTTCAGCGTTTAGAACCCTAACCAAAACTCCAACGTTATACACTGTCTATTGAACCTTACTAATGTTACACATGAAAATCATGCCTGATGATTGGAAGGATGTTCGTGATTTGAGTATTACATAACTCCTGCCACCCTTCTTCCGCTATAGGGGTGGTGTTTCTGACACCGCCTTGCACCATGTCTTCAATGAGCTCTTTCCTGCTTGCCGAGGGACTGTAATGGATCTTTAAAGCCCCACTGCACTACTTATAGCTACTTGCGCCCTCTATTTAAAGCCAACAATGCCTAAGCGGTACCCGTTGATACCCCATGATGCCCTTTTTTCTTATGTTAATTAATGCTGATTTGATGGGATAACCACCTGCCAATAACCTTGCAGGGAGGTCTAATCTATCCATGCCAAACTAATGCAGAGGGGCTGTAAGATCTTAAATCGGCATGTGAGACCAGGGAGGTGGAAAACACCACCTCCCTGGTGAGACTCAGCTAGGATATATCCATTCTTTGGCTTCAAAGGTATTATTCATGATTTAAAGCTAGTATGTAGTTAACTTACATGTATCTACCATTAAATTCTTGTGGAAAATTTCAAGCAAACCATTGTTGATCATTTCTGTTTTCTGTGCAAGGAAAAACTGCTGCAATTATTAATAAATTCTTATTTCAGAGAAATATGTAATTCTTTTCATTTTCTTTGTTATAATATCACAATGGACTGATTATAAGTAAGTAGTACCCTTAACTGATATGATGCCACCAAAATTTGATGAACTGTTAAAAATTGCCACATAATGAAGACAAATCTCAAAGTTAATTGCTATCTATTCCCTTTAAAAAGATATTTCATTAGATAAATAAGAACATACCAGTCCCCGAAGAGACTCCCCCCTAGGTGTACCCACAACGTAGTCTTCAACTCCGTCACCATTGAAGTCACCAAGAGCGAGGGAATAACCTGCAGAGAGAAAGACAGAGAGAGAGAGGGAAAGAGAGAGAGAGGAGAGGAGTGGAGAGGAGAAGAGAAGAGAAGAGAGAGAGAAGGGGAGGAGAGGAGGAGAGGAGAGGAGAGGAGAGGAGAGGAGAGGAGAGGAGAGGAGAGGAGAGGAGAGAAAGAGAGAGAGAGGGGGAGAGAGAGAGAGAGAGAGAGAGAGAAGAGCAGAGAAGAGAGAGAAGAGAAGAGAGAAGGGAACAAAGAAGGCAGAACAAAGAGAACAAGAGAAAAAAGAAAGAAAGAGGGAGATAGATATAAGAACAAAATGAGAGAGTTGGTAAGTAACATTTTTATCATTATTATTATTATTGGATAGAACAAACAACAACATTTCCATTCAAATTGTACCATAAAATCTTCAAAATCAACAAGTTTTACAACAAAAAGTCAAACAATATAAATGTAATTAATAAAGGGTACCTGGAAAACTCAACACTTAAATGAATGACAGATCATAACAGACCATCCATCAATAGCTATAATGATAATGCCTTTTTAATATCCGGCTCCTGACTAATAAATATTAATTCCTCTCTCAAAATGAGACGAAAGTAATTTGCTCGGTCATTATCGAATACAAGAGTAATATGAATAAATACTCCCTTAAGGGTACTTGCCATTAATAAGAATCATAGAAGGTTAGAGAAAGTAAAATAAGTAAAGTATAACCCACTTAAGTTAATTACGCCATTCACACAGATGCATCTAGTTTCAATAGCCACATTAATCATAGACTTTGTCTGCGAATGTTTGGCTTTAAAGACCCTAACCGATGAAAATACAACTTTAAATCAATGGAAAGCTGAATGAACATAGAATACAAATATGAAGGAATTAAAAACAGTTTCCCTTTTAGTATTGCACAAAAGCAAATTAAAACCTTAATATCCGCCCCCCTCCAAATTACGGGTCAACAGGGGTCAAAATCTGCTGCATTTATGGTGACAACAAAATATATAGCTGAGGTGATGAGCCTTGCTTAATTAATGCAAAGTCATTTGAATATATGCATACTCCACATAAGGTCATCAAGTTCATAGCTAGTTTTCAGGTTGACAACTTCCAATTTTCAAATCTGTAGTTATCGAGTTTTCAGAGAGCTGTTACTCCTCTGACAGACACTGAAATAGCATATAATTGATATCATTATAATTTGAGGCTTGTAAGACCTTCTTTGATACATAATTCATCTATTTTTATTTCTCGCTTCCAACAGGAAATGACAAGTAACATAAATATGAAACTATATCTCCGTGGGAATGAAGAAGAAACTGATCAATGTTTGAAGTGATAACAGAGGTTCCTTCATACATACCTGCCAACATTTGAAAATGAGAATTAGGATTTTTTTAGCCATTCAACGCACGCAATACGTTAACTCTCACATCGCGGCACATGATAAAACAAATTTAATTTGGCTTAAGCTTTTAAAAAAAATATTATTTTTTTTTTTTTTTTTTAATTGAAATGTTGAAAAAAACAGAATATTCCGGATTTTGGGGTCCTAAAAATCAAGAAAAACAGAATATTCTGGATTATTCGTAAGAATTGGCAGGTGTGCATATATATGCATGTAGTATGTACCCAGGCCTTAGGAATAAAAAGAGAATTACTAAGAATAATTAAAGCTGCAATCAACACCCCTAGCAGAGTTGGGGTAATTGAAGCACCTTGCATGGTGGATGTTATGTGTGCTATAAAAAAATATCAAATTTTATTATTAAATCATAATTAAACTGGTAAACACCCTTTTTCTTTGGAAGAAATCGGAAGAACAGTTGATTGACAAGACTAGGACTTCAACATCGGGAAAGTATTGGACAATCTATTTAATTTATTAATGAAATATCTTATATTAGGTACTCGATCACCTGTTGATATCGAATTCCTGTCAGAAATTACATAAACTTCCTCATTGTACACATTTTTAAACCATAACTTCTTGTTAAGTTAAGTACCATGCTTTCTGATGTATACTGTTGTATGTACCGTGCGGATGCATAATAATTTAGCTATCAAAAGAGACAATAGCACATTTTAATACAAAACACATACAAATACACAGTACTTTGCTGTAAACACCAACACCACCGGAACTCCTAACAGTCTAATCATCATCCATATCCCTCGTGTTGGGGTCACTTTTCGCACCATCAACTTCAAACTATTTGTTTCGCAAAACAAACCGAATTGAGTACCAAAAAAAAATATGATGCAAACAGTTTTTGTTGTGACAGTTACAAACGAGACCTATTTTTTCCATTGTGTATACTCGTATCCCACTTTTCCCACATTGGTTTTTACCACGATGATATCATCAACTCTCTATCTGATAGAGAAAAGCAATTATCAATGAACAATGAAAGTCTGTGGAAATTAAATGTGTTGCAATATCTATATGCACCCATGTGGAAACATTTCTTTTCTTCATATTAATGAAAAAACTATAGGCATGATATGAGACATATGTTGTGAACAGTTGAACATCACTGTGTGAACATCCCATAGATGTATAATACACACACAGTCAAATGTGGAAATGTATCCACATGTATTTTATTGAATTAAGGTAAATTAAAGAGCCAGCTACATATCGTCCTTGTTTTCACGAAGTGACGGTAGTAAGGAAAATCGTCACGCAAAGTGAATGCAATTTTTTTTCACTACCGTCACTTCGTGAAAACAGCGATGATATATATTCCATTTTCCCTTGTTAAGAAAAGCTTTGTTGAGAATCAAACCATCATATATATATACCGTGCAATCTACCATTTTGAAAACATTTCTTGATTTCGTCAATGTAGGGTACAAATGTGAAGAATGATCGGCAATTATTAACAGGGGAATAATAATAATAATAATATGAGATTCCCTTTTTTCCCCTTTTAGTAATCAAGCAATATAAAATATTTTGTCTTATTCTCAAACTTAAATGTACTCTGTAAACTTATTTGATTACGAACATACTGTACTTGTCAGTACTTTGTTACTTGTATGATTCGTTTGTTTTATTATATATTGTATTAGTGTATGGTTTATATATGTCATTTAATTTGTGGATATTTGAGTGGAAAATAAATCAAATTGAATCAAAATCAAATATGTCCTCTTTAAACAGGGAAGCTTCATCAGTATTAATACTGTTGTTCCTAAGGGCCCTGCACTCTATTACCCCTGCGTTAGCTACCACGAGAAGGTGCTCAAGCATTCTAGGATTTCCATCCTAGTATACTGGGTACCCATTTACTACACCTGGGTGGAGAGCGGCAAAAGTAGACTAATATCTTGCCAAAGGATATTAGTGCCGCAGATGGACTCGAACCCTGAACCATGTGATTCACAGTCCAGTGACATAACCACTAGACCACGACATGACTTTGGCAAAAGGGTGAAGCTAATTGATGAGTTCACACATGATTTGGTCCGGTAAAGTGAAACAGCCTAAAGCCAATTGTTTTCTGCCAACGGGACCACTCATTCATATTTCAACATAGCCAATACCAAGAAAAAAAGGAAATCAATTATCAAAAGTATGAGTATTATGTGGTGAGCATGTTCATATCATAGGCATGTGAGGTTTCTAACTTCCTTCCTTTTGTCCTAAAACATTTTATTATTGTCTTAAAATCAGTTAAGAGAAAATATACAAACATACACTGTACATACATATATATATATATAGCGCATTTACATAAACATGCTCAAAATTTGTAATGATTTGATTTGTATTTCCTGTTCTACCGATTGCGTAATAGTGAAATACTTTTGTGTGCCCATGTACCCATTTCTGTGTATAGTTTGTATGATTTCAGGATAAAATCAATTTCTTTTCATTTTGGTTCATTCCAAACCTCACAGTATACATAAAATCTTATGTATAATATACATAATCAGTGTTTCCCGATTGCTTTCAGACTGTTTCTTTCATAATGGAATTGCACAACCAGAGCTACAGGCTCGTTGACCTTCCTTTAAGCAAACATCTAAATGAGAACTGGCAAGGAAACATGATACGATATGGGGGTTTCACACTCAAACAAATTGAAACGGAAATGGAACATTAGTAATAAGTAGACAGGGGCGAACTTACTTGGAAAGAAAGCTGCTGAGTGCCAAATGATAATAAGGTCATTTGACAAGATAACAAACAGAAACATTATGTTGAGGTCTTTTTTGTTTCTCTTTTTTTTTTGCCTAATCATGCTCACGATCATTAATGCTACATGTGTTTCGCCAGCTGTGTTTTTGAAGGATGGAGGACGGGGTATTGCAATTGTTTATGCCAAAACATAATCCTCATGTTTAAGGTTTCCTGTACGTCATCTCGTGTTAACATTTCCAAACATGACTTGCAGTCCTTTAAATCAAGGCCTCTTCTGTGTCTGTGTGTAGTGTTGCCTACATTTTATTTCTTTAAAGTTGCTTAAGCGTGGGTATAGAGGGCAGCACACGGACGTACACACGAGAGCATAATACCCATTGGCTCAGTGTTATGTAGTGATCGGGAGTGATCGCCAAGTTGCCTACTTCACGAACGACTATATACCCATGCACAAACATCTTTAAGGGGGGGGGGGGGGGATTCAACCTCTAAATTCCTCTCATGAAGTAAGAGCTGATAAGATATAATGTGATTAAAATCCAATTAAATAAATCTTGATGAAGCTTGATTGAATTAAATTGATTAAATGGCAATTACAGAGTTCCGACATTCTGTATAAAGATAAATAGAGATGCTGTGTGTTTTAGACAACCTTCGGTGGGCTTCGTGGTGAGAATGTGTTAATTCAAAATGCCTCCACGCATAGATTAAAATAAGGACATGGAACATGACTTCAATAAAAAATAACATTACATGGCCTCGGATTAACTTTCATTTAATCATCTGACAACTACCGCATTCATCATTCACATCCAATTATCTCAAATAAATTGCTATTTCCTGGCCGCAAAACAAATGATTTACAGAATGTTTCTTGATAATCCCGTTTCATTTTTCCTGTCACATCCTTGAGCTAAACCACATCGACTTTTTTCTTTTTTTCTCCTTTCTAAAACTACAGATTAAAAGATCTTGAAAATCCGGGATTAACTATTTCATGATGGATATATCACAGTGCAAAAGGATTTAAGACTTATCTTAATTTGGTTACGTTTCTAGAATTGTTCACATTAGAAAAGGAAAAAGGAAACCTAATTCAATTCATGTTACACCTACTTTGCAATGTGATAACAAAAGAGAATCATTAGATTATGATAGTTGTGGTTTTTTGTTGTTGTTAGGTTTGTTGTCATTTTGTTTCATTTTGGTTTATTTCATTTGTTAAAACCTGGGTCCTGTCATATAAAAAGATGCGATTAATCGCAACTATTTTGCAATAAGCCAGTTCACGGTTGCAGTCTGAGCATGAGCAGATAAAGGTCATTGCAGAACAAATTTTGAAATACACGGAGACGAAATACTGGATAACGTGCTTATGAAAGTTATGTAATCATTATTCATTAATGCACAAGCAGTGCATTCCATGATACATAGGTGGAAGTATTCTTTGAAAAGGGGAAACACAGGTTATTTATATAGCACCTCCATCGCTGTCAACCTCCAGAACAGAAAATCAGTAATCACAAGGCTCAAAATCAGTAATTTGGGGTATAAATCAGTAATTTCTTATGCGGCGCTATGAATCTAAAAAAACGACACGCCAACACTGCGCGGACGCATGATTATCTGAAATTTTTGGTGATTTTACTCACACAAAGATGTTAAGTATTGAATTTCAGGTCATCACAACACAGTTTATCATGAAAAATGGCTCCTATTCACAGCACTCGCTACGATAAATCATATTTAATTCATTAAAAAAAAAAAATAAAAAAAAAAAAAAAAAAAAAAAAAAAAAAAATCTTTTTTTTTTTTTTTTTTTTTTAAATCCGTAATTTGAGACAACATTCCGTAATGGTCGTTAATTTCCGTACCAATTACGGAAAATCCGTACTAGTTGGCAGCTCTGGGCATCTGATTGGCTGAGAGCAAACTTGATATCAATAACAAGTTACAAGCTACTGTTATAAGCTACTGAAATCGTGGCATCTGATTGGCTGAGAGCAAACTTGATATCAATAACAAGTTACAAGCTACTGTTATAAGCTACTGAAATCGTGGCATCTGATTGGCTGAGAGCAAACTTGATATCAATAACAAGTTACAAGCTACTGTTATAAGCTCCTGAAATCGTGGCATCTGATTGGCTGAGAGCAAACTTGATATCAATAACAAGTTACAAGCTACTGTTATAAGCTACTGAAATCATGGCATCTGATTGGCTGAGAGCAAACTTGATATCAATAACAAGTTACAAGCTACTGTTATAAGCTACTGAAATCAAGGCATCTGATTGGCTGAGAGCAAACTTGATATCAATAACAAGTTACAAGCTACTGTTATAAGCTCCTGAAATCGTGGCATCTGATTGGCTGAGAGCAAACTTGATATCAATAACAAGTTACAAGCTACTGTTATAAGCTACTGAAATCATGGCATCTGATTGGCTGAGAGCAAACTTGATATCAATAACAAGTTACAAGCTACTGTTATAAGCTAATGAAATCAAGGCATCTGATTGGCTGAGAGCAAACTTGATATCAATAACAAGTTACAAGCTACTGTTATAAGCTACTGAAATCAAGGCATCTGATTGGAAGAGAGCAAACTTGATATCAATAACAAGTTACAAGCTACTGTTATAAGCTAATGAAATCAAGGCATCTGATTGGCTGAGAGCAAACTTGATATCAATAACAAGTTACAAGCTACTGTTATAAGCTACTGAAATCGTGGCATCTGATTGGCTGAGAGCAAACTTGATATCAATAACAAGTTACAAGCTACTGTGATAAGCTACTGAAATCATGGCATCTGATTGGCTGAGAGCAAACTTGATATCAATAACAAGTTACAAGCTACTGTTATAAGCTACTGAAATCATGGCATCTGATTGGCTGAGAGCAAATTTGTCATAGAAATTTAGCATTTGTTAATGATAACAAGTTTCATGAAACAGGCCCCTGGACTGCTTTTCAGGCACTTACCCCTGTAGCTGTTATCAAATGCCACTGCTTGCTCCGGTGTGTTGCTTACATCACTTAATGTGGAGAGACTTTGGGCAAAGATTTGACCTGCAAAAGAAAACAAAACATAATGATTATTCTAGATTTAAACGTTTTTTTTCACTTTGTGTATATAATATTAAAATCTTCATAAGAGCACGACATAAAAAATAATGTATCGTGGCCATGTTTCTTTCAAATTAACAGTACAGGTAGCCAGTGTTGTCTCATCGACTTATAAGTCGTGGTTCTAGTGAATTCAATTCTCAGTGAACTTTACACGAGTCCCATCGGCTTTGGGTCTCATCGACCATCAGTCTTGTGGATTTGTAGCCTAACTATAGCCTTAGATCTATATCTAATTACAATGAAAGAGCCCCCCCCCCCTCCCATTACCAACCTTTAATAGCAAACTAATCTAATAGAAAGCAGAAAAATCAGAAGTACACTGCTGAAAGTTTGAACCAAATCAGACACAAGATAAGAAAGTTATGAATGGTTGAAAATTGTTATCACTAAAAGGTACGGGGATTCCAAATTGGCTGAATCAGTAATGTCACTGTTTCGTAGTGACTGACACTTCCTATTTGGCACCAGGTTTAAAGTTTAGCAGAGTGCGGCCCTATGAGTCCTGTGTGTATCACAAGCCCACTTTTTGCTAAACTGTCATCGCTTGTGTTTCTTTATATGACCATTGACAATATTCTATTGTGGTATGAAAGGGTCTACTATAATCATCAAAGTTTCTGGGCCTGTAGTCAATTCCATACTTAAGTTTGAAATATGAGTGTTTTACTTAGTCTTCTGCTTAGATAAAGTACTTAACCAAGTTTGGTATTCAGTTCAAACTTTTCGCCAAGTATTTTACCCTTAATTTATTTTGCTATAGTAAATATTTTATTTAAATTTTGTCTTATGTATGTAAAAGTCTAAAATGCGATTTGAATACAAGATTAGTAAAGTTCTTAGCTTAGCAATTTACTTAGTAAATTCTTTACTTATTCTAAGTATTGAATTGAATACCGTTTCTGATCCTTACCTTGTAAATAGTAGCTTCCAGGAGCTCCCATGACCAATGTACTGTTATCCTGTAACCAAAGAGATCTCAAGGAAATTAATATAAGAATCATTATCTTCCTCCTCCTCCCCTCTACAATTAAATGCTGAATAAGTATGTCACCAGGAGAGAAAGAGAAAGAGAGAGAGAGAGAAAGAGAAAGAGAGAGAGAGAGAGAGAGAGAGAGACAGACAGATATATATAGACAGACAAAGAGAGAGAAAGAGAGAGAAAGAGAGAGAGACGGAGAGGGAGAGAGATAGACAGACAGACAAACAGACAGAGAGAAAGAGAGAGAGGCAGACAGACAGACAGAGAGAAAGAGAGAAAGGCAGACAGACAAACAGACAGAGACACAAAGAGAGAGACACACACACAAAGAAAGTGACATACAAATTTAACATAGCCATTATTGAGAGAGGAGAAAAAATCCTACAGTGACATTCCTGTTTGCATGGTATGGAACGTTCTCATAAGTTTATGCTTTCTTTTAGTCATGTTTGCATTGATTTGACCATAAAACCAAAGGCAATGAAAACATATTTCAGTTTAGATAAGGATAAAACAATAACATAAGGTGAGCATGCAGGCTTGAAGGTGGCACATTGATTAGAAATAAAAACCATTTTGTTTGTTTTGGATTTTAAAAAATCCTGAAAGGATAATTTTTTATTTGCCTCGACTATGAAACCAAAGTCCTTAATAAATGACACATATTTGTAAAGCTTAGACCCTCCTCTTTCATTTGATGCAACTCATATGATGCATATTTCACCCATGAGTGATTAAAAGCAATATGAAGAAAGGGTACCAAAAAGTCATTTGGCGAAAGGTGTCTGAATTTTTAAAAGAGAAAATCACAATTCCAGACAGTTCATTTTCTGCCCTTTCATATGACACCTCAATCAGGAAAAATGAGCCAGGAATAACAAAGTTCTGTTTGTTTAAAGTAATGCTTGCATTTCCAAAATGTTATTAGACAAATTCGTTTTCACTGGCTGCCTGCTGTAGCAACAAACAGAGTTGACAAAAGACTTTAGGCATGGCTGATCGTGAAGTCTGCATGAAGTCTTTCATCTTCTTTGTTGTTAGGGCAGCCAGCCAGTGGAACGGATTTGTTTAATAAAATTATGGACATGGGTCTTCATTCCAATAGCATGGAATACTTACGCTTGGTATTTGTGCACTGAATCCAGCTTGACAATGGGTGATCTTATCAAATCCAAACAGCTCTCCTGCAAAACAAGAACAAAAAACAATTCAATTAAATGACTCCTGTCAAAATGTTCAATGTTATGCCCAAGTCACAAAGCTGAATTAACTTTAAGACCGACTGATGATAAAACACATCCAAAATATCATTGCAACTGAATATAATGTAGTTTTAGTTCTGTCTACTTTCGACCTGGGGAGTGTTTCACTAAGACTAAGATGGACTTTAAGTCGGACTTAACTACGGCAGGCCATTCATGCCACTGGTTGCTCTCAGCATTATGACCGTTAGATAATCTTTTTCCCCCTCAATGATGAACTATCACAAAAAGTAAATTCTGTGGATTTATGACCATGATTTGTACGTCCCTTGAGAGACTAATGCCAGTCAATGGTGAGAGAAAACAGTGGCATGAAGGGCCTGCCATAGTTAAGTTCAACTTAAAGTTGATCTTAGTTTTTTGAAGCACTCCCCTGATTTTAGATTTCTTGGTTTGACTAATGTATAAAAACTGACAGAAAGCAGAGGGGTAAGGAAGATCTGGGAAACAGAGAAGAAGAAATGACTTGAATGAATATTCCTCTTAAGAAAATCTTACTTTTGATTTATCATTATTGATTTACCAATGGAAGCCATTGGACGGAATTTTGTTCACCGTCTTTTTAGCAGCAGTTTTATGCAAATTTTCCAAAGTCATTTGCATAAGAAGAAATATGAACAAATCCAAATTCCTACAGTAAGGGTTGTATTCACCCCAAAGAGGGATATGCCTGATACATGAGTTACAGGTTGTTTTGTTCATCTCATCCCAGTCAGTGTCCCTAATTGAGTACGAGTCTAATTAACGATGGATGTAGACTGTAACGAGACATGCCAGCTAATCTAAGATGTCATGGTTAATTAGGGGGAGAATCAAGTGCCTACACATTTTTCTAATGCACTACATGCCCCTACTTTAAAAACCTGCAGAGTCACTAAATAAAAAAAATATCACTTATTTCTTAGGTCCTTCAAGAATTTTCTTTCTTTCTTTGTTGTTGGGGGGGGGGGGACCTGATATTTCACTTGATGGATTTTTTAAAAGTAAGATCAACTTCTTTTTTTTTGAGGGGGGGGGGGCATTTGTTTGTTTGCTTTTTTGGCTGGTCATAAATGTTTAAAATGTTAAGTATTGTATCTTTAAAGGTAAAGACCAGTATTGAAAACGCTATGTTTTGACTAATACATGATGATAAACATTTTGCCGGGAAACCGCCTACTAATTGATATATTTGGTAAATTAGTTTATCTACATGGTCTGTGAGAGATAAACGCATGTGTCGCGCACGTGTGCATATAGTCCCTTATACATCTTTCTGTGTACAGTGCTTGTAACTTTCCGAAGACTGGCATATTTCGTATCAGTTTGATAATTCCAGAACCTTGCAGTACACACCAATACTTATATGCTAGATGATCAACCTTTTTTTTTTTTTCTGATCGATTCCACAACGTTTCTTTCACAATGCAATCGCATGACCATAACTGGTCTTAACCTTTAAACATATACACTCTCTGGGTAGAAAAAACAATGAAATTCTAATTTATAATACAAACTTCAAGCTCCTTAAAAAATGTTTTTCAAAGGTTCTAATCTGTCATCCCAGATTCATTGCAAGACAGTGAGACATGGTAGTTTACTCCCTATCGGGTATTTGCTCTATAAAATTACAAAGGTGTTGTGATTGTTTGAGGCAGCTAGTACAACACAAGGCTTTTCATACTTAAATATCACCTTGTTATGCTTTCATTTTTTGGCACCATTGTGTGATCCCCCAATAGTCAGACAAAGAACTGTCATATCTTGATTCCGATGAATGACATCTAACCTTCATACTTGGCAGTAATAAATAGTGTGTTGTGCACACAACTTCAAAGCTCAATGCCGTCAACAATTGTGTTTTGACGATACACAATTGGAAACGCGAGTATTTTTTTAACAGGCATGGTATATTTTTGATCAATACAATAATAGAGTTTAGTCAAAACAAGTCTGGCATTATTCTATCATCACTGAGGCATAAAGAATGCATTCTATAGCACAAAAAAAACGGTAATTTTCCTGCAATTTTCATGAATGTAGCTAAACTCTCTTTGTATCTACATGTATGCCTCTAATGGAAACATGTGACCTTCGATGCTATGTCTGAATAATTGGTATCGTACTTGGTATTGTTTTGCGACAATGTTATAGAAAATGAGATAGAAAGAAGACTGTGTTCTCAAAGAATTAATGATGTGTATTGCAGCTGTAATAACAAGGAAAACATCACGATTCTGTTTTACAAAGAGATGCGATTGATCCAGATTGATCGCAATTCCTCCAGTCCTTTGCAAACTACAAACTCCTATCTCTTTAACACAAAGTAGCAATAGATATTAAGTTGCCATCGATGTGAATCGATTGTAACTCTATGTAAAACAGGCCCAAGAAGTAACAATGAATCATTCTTCCATTTCTGCACACAATATTTACTGAAGAATTTCATGACAAACAAACAAAAAGTTGTTGTTGTCCTTGTTGGTTTATTGAGATAAAACAAATCTTCAAACATGCAGCTAACAGCTGAAATTGTTCAATTTGCAGAGAAAAAAAGTAGACGGCATAAAGATACCTTGATAACACATTGAAAGATATTGACAAATGAACAAGTATTGTGTATATTTGCACGCAATTTACAAGTTTCATTATCAATATAATTATTATGATATAATTGCCATTTGTTTTGAGTAAATGAGAACTAATAATTTACAGGTTTATTGCAACAATGACGGAGTAGGTAGCCCACATTTGTGATCTAGCTCCTTAATAATCATAACAATAAATTAAATTCTTAATCGAGCTTGGATGGATTGAGGATATACTTACTATCTGTGCTCTGGCACGGGGAGTAGTTCACAAAGTTGGTGAAATCGGAGTGTCCGACGAAACACGTTCCCGTCGGCTCACGTTCCTTGTCGGTGGGGGAACTAGTGGAAGTCTGAAGCCAGACTAGTCGAGGAGCACAAGCCTAGATGAATAGAATCAAAACAAGAGTAAGGAGATGCGATGGCTCAGCAGTAGAGCAGCGGTCACATAAGGTCCTGGGTTCGAAACCAAGCTGATGCCCAAGTGCCCTTAGGTAAGGCATTAATGCTCATTAACAACTCAGTCAGTTGGTCTCCTGGTTGCTTACTTACAACCATACACATGTTTTCTTAGCAGTCCGGTAAAACAAACAAACATTAAGGACAAAATTATAAAATGACAATGATATTTTTTGGTTATCCAAGTCTTGTATAAGCCAACCTCTGTTCTTGTTACTTTTAGTCAAAACTCCACATTGTAGGGTTAGGGTTTGGTTCAATAGAGTTGGGTCAAAGATTTAAAATTAGACATTTGATAAGTGTTAGAAAGAGCCTATGAAGAAACTCTCACTTGATCATATACAGGTAACAACTGAAATGTTCATACCCTCACCAAGTTTCAATTTTTTTTAACATGTACAAAATTATTTGTCACCTTCTACATTTCTTGAAAATATGACATATTAAAAAGCTTACATCTAAAAGTATTCAACAAACTTAAGGCCCTAATTCAACCCATCCACCTTTCATTCTTGAGTTGTTAATGTCATACAACTCCTTTTACAGATTTCAAGGCACTGATTGAAAATAATTTTCATTTTATTTACCCCAATTTGATATTTTAAGAATATATTCTTGATCTGGGGAATGTCAATGAATCATAGGGTTAGGGTTAGAGTTCATCCTTCTAAGTTATCAATATAATCAGATTACATGGATGAACAGACTTCCAGACTGAAAACGCCTTACAGGAATGCCTCTAGCACCATCTAATTCGGTTTATAGGCCTGTCTTCATCAGCTCGAGATTGCCAAATAGCCCGCTATTTCTGATTTGGGAAATAATCCTGAAGTTACAAATCGCGTCATCATCAGCTCGAGACTTGACCTTGAAACTGGAAACTCGAGCTCGAGAAATTAGCTCGAGACATTTTGCTTAGCGTTCGGGCGTAGTGCGAGTCTTCGGGCTGAACACGCACTAGACAAATAGCTGGATATTTTGCAAACTAGCCCAAGATATCTTGGGATGATCATCTCGACCGAATATCCCGCTTATTGCAACTTCGGGCTGATGAAGATGTAAATTAACTGGATAATTTGCAATCTTCAAATAGCGGGATATTTGGCAATCTCGAGCTGATGATGACAGGCCTTATCTGAAGCATATAATTGTGTGGTTTCTTACCAGGATGCGGCCGTCAGGTCCCGAGCTTGCCAGCGTAGCTCCGAACCATTGGTTAGACTTGTCCAAGACCTCTGTGTTACCTGTAAGACACAGAGAAAACATAAAAAATATAACATAATTGCATTTTCTTCTGCATTCATGTAGTACACAGTTTTTTATAACAATAATAATATAAAGTACAATAAGTATCTTTCTGACAATGAATCATAAATAAACAAATACATATATATATATAAATTGTTATTTTCAAAAACAAACTGATAAACTGTCATAAATACTAAATTTTCTCAAACATTATAACACATTATAAAATTATTTGCAGAAGAAGGACTGTCATTGTAAGCAGATTGCTTGATAATACCACAGCCCCACACAAAACTAATGAAATAGATTACACATTTATTAAGCAGAAAGCGGAAGATATGTAGATTGATAGATTTATCACAGAGAACATAGGCCTATACATATAATCACATTGTAGTTACTATTTTATTCCTACAAGAATACATACCAGGGTATTAAATTGTGATAAGAACTAAACACAATGTAAACATAATTTTGAATCTCCCATTTTGACAGATGTCTAGTTTTGCAGTTTTGCAGTTTTGCACGGTGTATGGCTTGTCACTAAATAAGTACTACAATACATTAAAATACGGTATGAGGAAATGAGATTTCAAAAGGTGCCTCATGTATGTAAGTGGGTCTACCGGTATACGCAATCAAAGTAATTGTTATTTGTAACTACAGCATATGAACATTCAGTGTCATTTTTAATTTCTTTCATGAAATGTATTTTCCCTCCTAACTAGAACTCAAGATCTACCTAAGATGACCCTTTGCTAAAAATAGTTCTTGATGAATTTGCAGCGATCATCCATCGCAAAGGCCCGTTATTTTAATGTGAACATCCTGAATGTCTTGAGAAGGTCATCAGCACATCTCTAGATGAAATGAGAAGTGACAGAACATCTGAAGTCATTATCCTGGTCCATACACGCTTCAATTAGCTGGACAGTCAAAAGCTACAAGCATGTTCACATGGCACTGCTGTAGTTTAATCTTTTAAATCGATTAAAACTTTAGATTTATCTCAAGGTTTTCAGCTCCAAGATTATCTTGTAGTTTACGACTCTACAGTGGCACTTGTAGTTTAAAACTTGCGGCTAACTTGAAGTTTTAAACCACAAGTGATCTTAAGGTTCGCAAAATAAGTATGGGCTGCAGGAGGGATTCTTACTCAAAGTTATATGTCGTGTGAACACAAACAACTTCAAGATTTTGCCTGTTTGTAGTTACAACAATTAGTTTGATGCAAGTACCGGTAGTTTAAAACTCAGAGTATTTGTTGTGCCATGTTAATGTACCTATCGCTGTTGGTGGGTCATGTTTGAAACCTTAAGGTTTCATTTACACAAAGTTTAAAACTACGACAGTGCCGTGCAAACATAGCTCACAAGAGGGTCCATGTTTTGAGGGAATTACCCTGGAATTTCCTCTTCCCAAAGGAGCTAATTGACACCAGCACCAATATCCAGACACACTGCCTACAGTATGTAGCTTACAAGAGAAATCAATTTCCACCTTCTAATAATAACTTTAGTTTATAGTGCCTGTATTATATTAACCATTACCCTAACCTTAACACTAACCCTACAGTATTTTTTAATAATAATAATAAGAAGAAGAAGAAGAAGAATAAGAAGAAGAAGAAGAAGAAGAAGAAGAAGAAGAAGAGAATGCTATAACAATGATGATGATGACATTAACGGTGCTGTCACTTACGGCACACAAGGACAAAATAGAGAAGAAAGTGGAGTTCAAATGAGTGCTATGTTCTTATGTCAAAAAGATCAAGAAAGGCAAATCTTTTAGCTTAAGCATGGACTTATACCTATAGTTTCAAGTCCACGGCTTAAGTGTTCATGTCTGGTTCCCACATTATCGTTCACCGCAGAATTCTGTGGAAAGGATATCGTGCCTCCTCCTGTATATATAACCACACATGGTAGACTTATCTAAAGAACAGGCTACCGGGTAAGCGTAAAATCATGACCGCACTCTCTACAGTTCCCTTCAACCATTAATATTGAATGGAATTAATGTGTGTGGAATGTATTTTCAAAGGCTAAAAATTTTGCAAACACAGGATTTTTTTGTTCATACTATACTCGTTCATCTACTTTGAAAGGACTCTTTTTCAATATGTCCTTTCTTATTGAAAGTGAATTATCATTCAATGAATATCTTTGATGTGGGCCATTCTGTGCAATTTGTCCAGTACATCATATTTTTTTTGTTTTTGTACACATAATTCATCCCCCCAAAAAAAGAATCTCTAAAAAGGATGCTTTCTGGTAACCCTTCCATTTGTCAAAGTCGTATTGAGAGATTCAAGGATGAAACATGTGGATACATGTCATGTGTCGTACGAGAAACATTGCACGGAATCGCCCACGTTATAAGCCAGTGGGCCTCTGATACCTCTTTTGAATTTAAAAAAATGTTCTAGAAAAGAGAAAAGGCCTAAAAGCTTGCTTGAAGCTGATATAGCAACAACTAAAACAGCATCCACTCTTTGTTTAAAATATTTGATAACTGGTATGGTTGGGGCAGTAGAATTACATCCTACATGTATTCATAATTTCATAAAAGATGAAAATGAAATGTAAGAGCATCACAATTTTCAAACATAGGAATAATGAAATAGAATTACTCCTGACGACTAGATGAAAGTATGTCATCATGAGAGCCTACAATAAAAGGCTTCCATTATAAATGTATCTTCTGATAATGCAAGTTTCTGCTACATATCCATATGTGCACATCTCGAGTCAACATGTTAAAGCCTATCTGCACTAGTTTGGCCAGGAGGGATTAGACCTCCCTGTATGGTCACTGGCAGGTGGATATCTCATCAAATCAGCTCTCAATTAACATAAGAAAGAGAGGATCATGGGGGACCAACGAGTACCGCTTAGGCATTGCTGGCTAAGTAGAGGGCGCAAGTAGATACAAGTAGTGCAGTCCCGCTTTAATTCTCTTCTATACTGTAATGCCCAATGGACACACAACCTGTATGTGCTGTAAACACAGGGCCCCTAAAATAGAAAAATGCTGAATTTCTACACTGCTGCAAGCAAGGAAGGAGCTGCACTACAAATGTACAGTATGTCTGGTCCTGTGGTGGCTTTTTCATACAAACACATATGTTTCGATAGAGAACCTTTTAGCGAATGTGACGTCTGGGGAGCCGTACAGCTGGGGCTCTCATTACCCTCCGATGCCAGGGAATTTCAATGTTGCCCTGAATTATGCACCAAGTTACGGGATGGCGGAAAATACACATCAATTCAATTATTCATCTGCATTCTGGCTGCGTTGTCCTATATTTGAATAATGAGGAATAAGTGAATGCCACTTTGAAGCAGTATGGGAGTAAGCGAGTACAATAATGTGGCTGAATTGTTGTTTACTAGTATTTGTATTTACATTATATACATGCAGGCATTTATAATAGTGTTTGTTATTAAAAAAGGCATGTCCTAAATTGTCACCTGTAGGGAGTGGTACTTCAAAGTGATTTCCATAGTATTAACGGTAATAACAATAATAATTTCTATAGCGCACTTACTGTACATGTACTATTACCCCTGCTTTAGCCTAGCTGCCGTTCCAGCGCTCCAGCATTTCAAGGAATTAATTCCTGCCAGGTACTCATTTATCTCACCTGGGTGGAGTGTCTTAATGTATAGCTGAGTGGTTGGACCATAGTTGTGCCATATAACAATTTCTGTGTGCAGTACATCTCTGATTGAGTCATTTCTTATGAATTTGATAATTGCAAAACTTCACAGTATGTACACCAATTCCAATGTATTGCATAATCAATGTTTTCAAATTGTTACCACTACCAGACAGCTCCTTTCACATTCCTTTTGCATGACCAGAAACCCGTTTCACAAAGCCTTATTCAATGACAAACGACAAAAATCAGTGACAAATCTGCTGATAACCAATCAGAAGCAAGGATTTCAGTAGCTTATAATAAAAACTGTCATTTGTCACTATTGACAAGTTCTGTGAAACACCCCCCAGAACTCACCTTTATCTTTAAAGATTAAGCAATGGTCACATATCAACAATTTGAACAAGATAACAACATAATTGGTTCATGAAGAAAATCAGTGCTGAATATCCACAAGGAAAAACTGGCGAGTACCACTTAGTTTTTTAAAAGATCCATTTTATTGTTATTGTTATCAAAACTTGTATGTAAGTGTGACCTGGCCTTTATGTTTATCTCTACATTGTACATGCCTGAAGTTTGCATGCCTTGCTTGATGCAAAACAGCAAAAGATTATCTTTTCTCACCGATGTTAAACCACTTTTAATCCTATTCTCTCTTTTATACAAAAGCACTTTTCGGCCTTCCCCATTTGAAGAATTTATGAGGCGTTGCTAATCCTTGAGGTATCTGAATATAGGACTACATGTTTGAATGTCCCTTTGGTTGCTTCATTTGATCTTTGTGTTATAAATGAAGAGTGGAGAACCAAGGTTCATTATCCTATATGCTCCAAACAGTTGGTTGTGCTGACCAATTTAATGAATGAATTTAACAAATGAGTTGACATGTATTATATACCATCATCTTCATATCGAAACAGAAAAACTTTGGCATAAAATGCTATGTAATTAACCATAATGCTTTTCTTGCCATCAGTACACTTGCATTTAATCAATGGAGCCTAGTGTTTGGCGATTTACAAGCTACATGTAGGGTAAAATTGAGGATTCCATGCAGAAATTTTCACATAATATTTTTCATTTCGTGACCAGATCTCTTTTGAGCTCTCGGTCCACTCCCCCTTTTTCAAAGTGAAAAATATATCATAATTTGTTTCTGGTAACAAAAATTTAAAAAACTCAAGAAAACATTGCATGCCAATTCTTTACAAAGTTTCCTACATGAACAAAGTCTTAATCTTTAAATTGGTATAAACCAGTGAGGCTGAATCGAAGTGGTGCTTTGTAATTTATACTTTTATAAGTATGTCTCCCCTGATCTTTCTTTCT